TGAATCAGACTTCAAGATATTCTATATCTCAGCTGGTAAGATACAAAATGAAGAAATCAGAACCACTTACAAGTTTTTGTTTTGTAAGATGGTTCTTTAAGTCTCCGAGAGAAACTTCTTGTGAGATTCTGGCCCTGGAGATTAGCAGCAGGACACTTTCCTGCAGCCCCTTTTAAAGAAACCATTTTTTTTAAAAAGCATAAATCCGTTTTCTCTGCCTACACACTTTAATAGTGATGGACTGAAGGAGGCAAGGAAATATATCAATATGTTCTGACTTGGTTCAGTGTATCATACCACATCCCCAGCTCACAAAAGTAATGAGTCTGTGGATCTCAGTGCTCACATGGAGCTCAATATCCCACTATAATGTAGGAGGTAACGAACTTCTAGATATAAAAGCAGTGCTCTCCAGAAAAAAATGTTGTGACCAGGAGAGAATATGCAGATTTCTGAGTCCCAGCTGAACTCTGGGAATAAGTCGCAATGAGCGATTGCCCTTGCTGAAAGTTGGGTCACCACCAGGACCTAGGTGAACAGAAATGGACAGAGCCTTCTACACACTTGAAAAGTAATCCTCTGGCCTTTAAAAAAAGTTGTACACTTATCGAGTCATTCTCAATACATAGCTAGAAGAAAATAAATGGCTTTTTTCCTTATTTACTCTAAAAACTAGTTTAAGAAGTGAGGATATACTATGACGTTAACTAAGATAAGGGGTGCTGGGAAGGGAAAATGGGATAGCATTTTCTAGTGAAGTCCACTAATTTTCAGATTAGGAACATGCTAAACTGGCTAACTCTACAACCACAACATACTTTATAATACATGACGTGACTAGAAACTAACCAGCACAGCTCTGAGCTTAGAATTAAAGTACAACTGCATATGGCAAATCTTAAAGCAGGTTTTAAAACAGATTTAACCAAAGCGTACAGCACAAACACTCCTATAACAGCCACATCACAACCACCAGGAGAGAGTTTTTTGCTTCTAATCGGTCTGTCATATGCCAATATTTGTAAAGAGCTATTAAATGCCTTGAATAAAAGACAATGGCATTTTCTTTTGGGAGACACAGCTAAAAGCCATGGATGCCTTTGAGCAGTTGGTAAAAATCATGCCAATCTGCCAGGCTGCTGCTTGCTTCTAAATATAAGCCTCATGGCTCTATGAAAGATTTTCTAAAGATGCTGACCTAGAATCTAAGTCCTCAAACACCTATAAAGCCACTCTGGTCTCCTCCCAAAGGATGTACCTTTTAGCAGGCCCAAGACAATGAAATCAAACAGGATTCCAAAGATTCAAAAAAAGTGGTAGAAGATTCTTCCAGAGAATGTGATACTAAAGAATTCATACCCGCAGTTTCTCCAGTAGCCTGGAGAGAACAAAGACAGAGCCAAGCTCTGCAGAGCAGTGGGCTTAGAATCCAGTAGAGCAGGGTTTCTTAACCTCACCACTATGGACATTTGGGGCTGGATCATTCTTTGTTTGTGTGTGTGTGTGTCGGGGGGGATCCTGTGTACACAGGATGTTTAGCAGCATCCCTGGCCTCTACCCAGCAGATGCCAGTAGCACCTCACCACTCCCAGTTTCAACAACCAACTATGTCTTCTGACATTGTCAAATGTCCCAGGGAGGCAGAATTGGCCCTGACTGAGAACCACTGCTACAGAGACAGCTCACTTGAGCTCCTTGGGCTCTGAAGAGGCTAACCCTCAAGCTGAGACCAAGCAAGGTATAGTAAAAGTTCATTCAGAACTTCTGAGAAGTGAAGATGGTGGTAAAGTAAAAGTAGAAAAAGAGCAAAGCAGAGTTTCTTTTCAAAAGGAGATCGGCAATACTTCCATAAAATAAAGCAATTCATAAGCCTTCATTCAGTGATATTTTATCCCTTAGGATGTTAGGGCAGATAGCAGAATATGAACATTATAAATTTCCCTTCCTAAAGAAAACGCAGACTTGTGTGACTTTAAAATCATATCCTTCTTATCATGGACGGCAATTTTTGTGAGGTCAATGATTCATCAACCAGAGGAAAACAACAGTTAAATGCTAAGAGAGGGCCCATTAGTTTTGAGAGAAAACTTGACCATTCCCCTCGGCGAGCAGGAAGAGAATTATACATGCTAGAAATGCGGATTGTAGTTCACTTATTATAGCTTACTGAGGTCAATGAAAAGTCAGAATGGACAAAAGCGGAGAAGAGGATAAAAGAGCTACCTCAAAAACACTGGTTGAAAACACTGTAGATATTTTCTGGCTCAAATCTGGGAATGTACGAAAAGTATGTATTGACTCTTCATCAGTTAGGTTTACTTTGCTCTAGGTAGAAGGCAATTATTCTAGCCCTTCTTTGAAGAACCATCATGAATATAAATGTTCTGCAAACATCTGAGATCCCAGTGTTAGCAAGGATGAAAACATGGGAAACCAGCCCCTAGGTGACAACGAGCCTCAAATGCCACAGCATGGCAATGTGACTGCGCAGTTCCTAAGCGCACAGCACAGTGAGAAGTCTTTCCAGAGGAAAAAAATGTAGTTTCTGGTTTGCAAGGGGGGATTACAAGATATAGATCTAGTATGAAAAAGAAGAGTTACACACCCTTTTAGAGTCATTAGTATCCAGGCAAAAACTGCTAAGGGTTCACTTCACTTATATAACTGAGCAGCTTGCCTGGGAAAAGCCAGAATTCAGAGCTACCTAAAGAGTACTGAACTGGTGAAAGAAACAAGATATAAAAAGAACTGAAGAGCATGCAAACTACTGGTTTGAATCAAACTGTTTTAATGATAGTACCCAGTTGAGTTTCATTTTAGTGCCTATTACACTTATTAAAATCAAATAAAAAGCACCTTAAAATGACCTCTATATATAATCGATACACATCATTATAGTAGTTATATAAAAATGTAATATGCACACAATTTAAGATTCAAAGAAACTAAGACCTTTTCTTTATAATCTTTATAATCATCAGAGCTATCATTCTCAAAATCTTGGGGGTGAGGGAACAGTAACTCAGCACATTTCAATTATCGCTGACTTGATTCAGGGGCCAATGCTCTCAGAATCCTGGGACAAGTGATAAATATTGACAAGTTACCCCTTTGAGGGGTGAGGGTGGGGATGGGTCTTTAAAAATATTATTGCTAAGAGACTACTTCCAAAAGTTGAATTCTCTTGATAGATGGTATTGAGGTGATTTCCGTCAAGGATAGCCCAGAGACACGGGGCTGTAACCCTTGTTGGCCACAGGCCTTGATGATGCTTCGGAGTAACTTGGGAGTTGAAGGAGATCAAATGAGGGAAGGAAGTCCTGTTCTGATCATGTGTGTGTACTGATGTACATGATAACTTTGTTATAAATGGATAGTCCCAGGAAGAAAAAGTGAGCACAGCAATTTTCTCTACATCTGGAATTGCTTCAGGAGCCTTTTAAATATACTGGAAAGAGCAATTACAGCAACAGCAACAGCAACAACAGCAGCAGCAACAACAAAACATTTAGAAATAGAAATGCCACACACAGATCTCACACCCCACCAGCCAAGAGTCTCCGGTACAGCGCACAGGATTCAGGAGCATAGAGCTGGTTTGCAAGATCTGCAGACAGGTTCCTCTTGCAACCTAGGAATGTTCACTGGCAAATCTTTGGTCTACACTCTACACTAACACTAAGGAGAAAAGCATATTCTCTCTACAAAGACCCATGAGTAACCCTGGATCTATCCTCTCCTCAGGTGCAAAGAACGTCCCTGGATGCAAACAGGAGCCAACTGTGAGGACGGAGACAACAAGGCCTGCTAGAGCTCTCACTGGCCTACCCGACTGTCTTGCCTATGGGTTTGGGAGGAGATGCTGCATCTCATCTACTACCACGGATCATGTCTAGAGGCTACTGCTGGGGCCTAAAAGTTGAGCATGGTTCCCACTGATAGTCACACATAGCCACAATTCAGCTCCCTTGATTAGAAGTATAATACTCACTTCATATCACAAATGTATAAAAATATGGCAGATAGTGTCATAATGATACTTTCTTTAAATGATTATATTTATAAAACAGACAGATATTTACCATATATATATTTATATATAGAATAAAATACTCCTGATGCAATATATAAAGGTTACTGTTTAGTTTTTATAGAAACTACTGTAGCTGTCCCACTGCTTCACAATGTTCCAAACAGCTCAAAATAACTTTACATTTAACATAAAAGGTATGATTAGAACAGTACAATATTAATTATAAATAAATGTTACAAATCCTATCAAATATGAAGTTTAGAAAACAATTTAAGACATACAGTTAGTTCATCTGCTAACCCTTCAAAGGAATACTCTTGGATTACAATAAACCCCACATTTAGTTTAGGCTAAAAAAAAAAAAAGAAAAAGAAAAAAAAAGAAAAAAGAAAGAAAATCTGTGGTAAGGGCATCGGTCAACACGAATTTTTCTATCCCTTGCAGTATCAGAACACATCCTAGCTTTCCTAAGTTCAACAGGGATTGCACTAAAGCTGGAATGTGCAGGGGAGAAACTGGCAAGAATGTCTTCTTCCTCAATGGCACACTCTATCCATTCTCACACAAGATCCGTGGGGACCAGCAGTCCCTAAGAAACTCCTGCGGCTCTAAGATCCCTGACTAGCATTTGTGGCCGTGAGGAGCCAGAGGGCTCCACACATACAATATTGCACTCACCTTCATAAAGCTGAAAATACTGGCTGACCACCCCAGCCCAGCCCATTCCCCACCCCCCCACACCCTCCCATCCCCTTCCCACTGGCTTACCAACCCCCCCACCCCCACCCCAGCACACATTACAAGGCTGTCTCTTTTAAATCATTCAGATTTGGCATTCGAGACCGATTTGTTCTGTTATAAGGGTGCCCGTTTGGCCCACTCTTGGCACCCAGCTGTTCAGAGTAGGAAGGCCCCTCTGTGGCACTCCGGGTCACAGAGGACACATGCCAACCAGGGTCCATCTGACCTGGCAGCTGGAGGGCTGGCCTGCCCTTCGGTGTGGGCTCCTGCCGGATGTTACTGCTCCCGCCAGAGGCCTGGCTCAGGGGGTGGATCCGAATTTCTGAGAAGGAATTTTTGGCTTGTTGAGCTGTTAAGGGCTGGAAGCGGGGGTCTGAGGAAGCCGGGTGATTTGAGGCTGAAGAGAGATGTAACAGCTTGCGCAGTGATTTTAACGGCTGGCTCTGAAAAAAAAGATGAGAGTGTGCATAGGACTTAATTTAGAGTAGACTCGAAAGCTGAGAGAGACAGAGCACAGATCTGAGATGACTGCATGTAGCCAGCGGGGCAGGCACAGGGGAAGAGGGGCTAAGTCTAGCCTCATCTGTCCTTTTGTTCTTTTTCAGACAAGATCGGAAGTTATTTGTCTTTAACGAAAAAGCCTAGAGATCTAGATAAGGACTCTAGAGCTGGTGTGGTGGCTGATCAAAGGCTTAGGCACCTTCTATCTGGCTGCATCCCATCTTGACAGGGGGCAGATCTCGACTCAGCCAGCAGGAAGCAGCAAAAGGAATATGCCTCTCCCTTTTTGAGAAGACTTCCCAACAGTTCCACATAAACCTGCCACTTATTTTTTACCTGCCAGGACTCAGCCATTCAACCCTACCTAGCAGCAAGAGAAAGCTGAAAAAATGTAATTTTTCAATTAGGTACTCAGCTAAATATTGCATATCCCCCTTCTGTTCTTATCACCCCAATTTTCCCCTTCCCTTTCTGCACTTTTACTTTTTTGGCGGTGGGGGTCGGATTTGAGCACTGAAAAGTGAACAAAGCAGAGAAAAAAAACAGCAAAAGCCCTATGGACTCTAAAACATAATTCACTCTCAGGAGGCTCTGGATTCTTTTTTTTTTTAATTTTTATTTATTTATGATAGTCACATGAGAGAGAGAGAGAGAGAGAGAGAGAGAGAGAGAGGGGCAGAGACATAGGCAGAGGGAGAAGCAGGCTCCATGCACCGGGAGCCCGATGTGGGATTCGATCCCGGGTATCCAGGATCGCGCCCAGGGCCAAAGGCAGGCGCCAAACCACTGCGCCACCTAGGGATCCCGAGGCTCTGGATTCTTAACATGCTTGTCTGCTGTGTGGTGGAGGCCCAGACCCCAGAGGTGCTACACTGGGCAGGGGACTGTGCTGCAGGGCAGAAGAGAGAGTCCCAGTAGCCACCTACCCCACACTGGGTGACTCTTCTCAGGGGACTGCTGAACCACGGGCTTCCCACTGGTAAAAAGGTGGTTCACTGCTCTCCCCTCCTCTGCCTGATGCATGATAAGGCTTACCAGCAGAAGAGGCATGTGAAGGCACCCTGAATTTTAGGGTCCTTGATGGGAAGCCTGCACTCCGGATGTAGCCCTAGCCTAGGGCCACCTCTGGCTACAGGCTGTGCGTCTATGGGCTTGGTAAAGTTTTAATAAAATGTTGATGATCTCAAGGAGTACTAAAAGATTTGCAGGAAAAGAGCATTGAAATCGAAGAGGAATTGTTTGAGAATGGACTCAGGCAGAAATTGCTCCTGGGGAAGTACCCTCTATGGCTATTCCAAAGTCTGTCCAAGACAGCTCTGTGGTCCCCAGGGGAGGTGGCACAGCACAGTACACATCATGAGCGCTCAAAGTTGTGTTTTTTTTACTGAAACTGGTGTGATAACACAATGAGATTCCTAGTGATTTTTACAGCCCTAACCACGTGTGACTATTGAGCAATTACAGAAATTTGGGTCCAGTTGGAGATATAAAGTAGCCTGAAAGGTGCTTCTTAGCATAAGAAATGGCTACACAAAGAAGGTTCTAAAGCCCCATACTCTTTCTATAAAACTGGGAAGAGAAGACGAGGCCCTCACTCAGAGTCTTGTGCTTTTGGTTCAGAAACATACCCAACAACTTAGGTATCTGGTTCTCTACACCCTTTCTGTCCCCTGCCCTCCCCCTTGGCCTATGTTACATTAGAAGTAGAAAATATAAATGGTTGGGCAAATACAAGTGAAATTTGAGAACTCCTGTCAGTGGCTCTAAGTAACAGTTAAAGAAAGTACACAACAAACCTATAAAAATAGACCCTCTTCTGGGCAGCCCAGGTGGCTCAGTGGTTTAGCGTCACCTTCAGCCCAGGGCCTGATCCTGGAGACCGGGGATGGAGTCCCACGTCAGGCTCCCTGCATGGAACCTGCTTCTCCCTCTGCCTGTATCTCTGCCTCTCTCTCTCTCTCTCTCTCTCTCTCTGTGCCTCTCATGAATAAATAAATAAAATCTTTAAAAAAAAATAGATCCTCCTCCTCCAAATTACAGAAATCTGTGGCCATCTATCTATCTATCTATAAATACAAGCAATCCTAGAGCTTCATTCAGAAGCTCATGAGGATTGTCAGAAACTACAGTATGGAGGAATACTGGATTTATAAAATATGTTAATATGATCAAAAAACAAGTTAGATTATGTCACTGTGCTTGTTGTAGGATACTGTAAAGATGCAATATTAAAAAATTTTCGATCAAAATAGTTGTCCAAAGGAGATAAACCTCAGTTACCTGAAAAAATTTACTGATTCATTTTCTGCTTATTTCCCATTATGGCAGATAAATACAATTATACAATACTGTCTAATATACAGTTCCTAATGCAACTGTTCAATTTTCTATCAAAAATAGTATCAATTTCAGAATTTTATTCTTTCAAGAAAGGTTATTGTATTTTTCAAGGCCCAATTCATATGCTATACCACATTTAACAAAATCTTCATCTTCCCACTACCTCCTCCTCCTCTCACCCTCCTGTACATTTTATGGCATGCCTCACTTTTTACCATGAATTACGGTTACTTATAGATTTTCTCTCTCTCCTAAGATATGTAGTACTTTCAGGCTGAGACCACATCTTAATTATCCCCCTTACACTTCATCTAACACCGACCCCCCAACACCCTACTCCACCCAGGGCTAGGTGAAGGCCAATGGAAGCTCACTTTTTTTTTCTCATTAAGACACGAGTCACTGAAACGAGATTCACGTGGACTCCCAAGATGCATCTGCTATTCACAGTGATGGTATACTCTGAGGAGGATGTCAGCCTTGTAACACTGAGAGGCTAAATTCCCCAAACCCGCCCACCTCTCAAAAGAGGTAAGTCACTGCAGAGTCTAGAATCTAGGAGTGTTACAGGCACCACTCACTTGGGTCTGTAGATCAGAGATCTTCTCAGGACGCCACTCCTTTGGTCTGCTGCTCGGAGTGCTAGCAGAATGAATGGCTTTCTGTAATGTTAGAAGATCGGGGCCGTCAGAATTGGGCACCTAGAGGAGAATATAGGGAAGGATTCAATAAGAACCCCAATAAGCCTAATTAAGATATGCAACCACACACCAAGAGGAGAACAAAAGCACATCAAAGGAAACCAAACCTCGACCCCGCGCCCCCAATAAAAAAAGAAACCAAAACTCTCCCAATGTTCATAATGCAAGTGATGCCAGTTAAATTCTGCTGCCCTCTTAATAATTTTCCCTGCATTAGGAAAAATTGGCAGATGTCATGCAGCTTTGTTAAAACCTCAACCCTTAAAGCATTCCCATGCTGTTAGTTTTAGTCGCTGTAAGAGAGAGCAGTTAAATTGGGCTGAACCAGAAATTGTTTGTCGTATCCTCATTCCATATTGCAGTTAGGTTATGAACCAGTTCAATAAAACAAAAATTTGCTCCTGCTGGGAAAATGATCCAAACACTGTATTTGGTGGCGCCCAAAGAAGTCTATCAGGCTTTCAAGGATACTGAAGTGGGAAAGTATGGTTTGAATCATATTCCCAAGACATTGCCCAGTAAATCTGGGTCTAGCATTATGTAGTATAAAAATGCTGGAAATTTGTGCCACAAACTCCAGATTAATGCAATTGGTCCATTCACTGATTTTGGTGAACATAGAATAATGCCAAATGCCAAGCAAAAGCTCTGGCTTTACTAAGTGACCAGCAAAAGCTAGAGCCAGGCAAGGAAAAAGCAAATCACCGGCTAAGAAAAGTAGAGCCTGCCGGCTCACTCTATTTGGTCAATTCAACTTGGTTTCAAAGAACAAACTGCCAACCAAGTGTTAACAGACTTTGTGAGCCGAATGAAAAGACATTGTTAATTATAAATGTTAATCAAATTCTTTACAGGAAATAAGAGATTTTATGAATGCCGTCTGCCCACAAGTGGCTAACTAGACAACCCAAACTAGCCTTTCACTAGTTTGTTTAGTAGCCTTTTATGCTTCAACTTCCTTAACTGATTCACAAAATCCAGAATGGCAAAGAATTGGTATTTCAGTAACTTTATGGAACTGGCTCAGGTACTTAACTAGCACAAAGAGAATATGACCTCATGAAAATAAAAGACATGCTGTTGTCATCAGTAAAACAAGTTTACTGGAGCAGTTTGCAGGGCTACCATACGTAAAAATGGGTACCATGGGTGGAGTGACTACAGGAAGCTTTTTCAAAGAAGAACTATGCTTTAAATGATTCTTTGAATTAAAAAGAGGAAAGAGGGATTTCTTGATGCTTGGATTCTCCCCGTTGGTGGAATCTGTCTGCAATATAAGATACAAATAAACTAATTGCAAAAAAAAAAAAAAAAAAAAGAAAAAGAAAAAAAAGAAAAGAAAAGAAAAAGAAAGAAAAGAAAAAGAAAGAAAAAAAAGAAAAAAGGGTATTCTTACTGAAACTCCTAGCCCTTGGGAGCCCTGATATTGCTCAATGTTAACAGTCACTTAAGGAATCCCTGTGCCGTGTGTGCACCTAGAGGAGTTCTGTGTCATTTCTCACCTGGACATGAAGATGCCAACAAAGTAAATTCAAAACCTGCAAAAACTTCAGTATATATAAAGAACATGTAGTCATGAGCCTTACCTATAATAGGAATGTCTAGAAACCTACACACATCTAGTCACACTGAGCTTACAAAACATGTAAGAATTTATTTATTATCATAAGTACGATTATAAAGAATTGTTTAAAGGGCTACTGGTGAACTTTAATCTTTTCCTAATTGCGAGAGAGGACTTTAGCAATTAAATAACTGACCATGTGATTTGCCTATGGGCGGGGGGTGGAGAAGATACTGCGAACCCTTTTGAACATGGTCAACTCTTGAACCGGAAAACATCACTTGGAAGAGGTAATATCACTGTTGCAGGACTGTACCATCAAAGAAACGGTCTGGTTCTATGCTGTTAAAGAAATATTTACCCCATGGAAAATATGTAGCACAATTAGGAATACAGGTTTTCAAAGTGAAAAAAAAAAAACAGTTCAATCTTTAAATTGACGCATGATTACCAATTGAGATACTAACTAACTAGGGTACAATTACCAAGTTGGCAAAGTCACCATATGCTCTTGGGGCTTATGTAACTCTGGATATGGAACTGAAGCCAGATTTCCCAAGGCGGCTTCCAGATTTGCTTGAGTCAAAGCAGGCACCTTTACAATACAGAATTATTTTTTGGCATCACTTTTCCCTTTTTTGGATAGCTCAATTGTTAGAGAACTAGAATATATATATGAAGGCATTCAGATCACCTTGTATGAAGACATTCAAGTAAGATAGCCAATTGAAGGTTTCTGTTCCCATGACAGGATCCCAGGGAAGAGTAATACGTGGCTAAAGAGGCCCTAAGAGAGTGCCCAGGAATCGGTGGCCAGAGGCTCTCCACCAGAGATGGGCCTGTAGCAGGGACTGAGCCTGGGCCTGCTATTTAGGAGAACCCACCTCTGGTTCTCCTGATTATGCGACTTCAGGCAGGTCACAACTTGCCTGGGCAGTCTTCTATCAGTGAAATAAAGGTGTTAAACTGGATTTAGGACCCGCTGAGGTTTAAAAATATCCTTTTCTTTTAGGCACCACATCTCTTTTTTTTTTTCCTCTTTTCTTTCTTTTTCTTTTTTTTTTTTTTTTTTTGAGTTTTAAGCAAAGGCCACAAAGCTTTTAAAACTTTCAAAGTTGGTTTACCTAGTTTCCTTTTGCTGAGTTCTAGAAAGTTGGGGGGGGGGGTGGAGCTGACTTTAATTCTGCTTCAGTGCTCACTTTAAGGAAACAGAGTTAACGTGATGCCAGGCTTAGGAGCCTGAAGTTCGACAGAATATAGAGAGCTCTTTGGAAATCTTACTCTAGATACCAGTCTTTAAAATGTTTTTTTTTTTTTTTTTTTTTCCTGGGACGCCTGGGTGGCTTAGTCGGTCGGGCACCTGACTTGATTTTGGCTTAGGTCATGATCTCAGGGTTGTGAGATCAAGCCCCACTTTGGGCTCTGCGCTGGGTGTTGAGGCTGCTTGGGATTCTCTCTCTCCCTGTGTGCCTCCCTCCCTCTCTCAAAAAAATTCTTTTAATTAAAAAATGCAGAGGCACAAACAACTTTTGATTTGGAAAAAACCATTGTGGCTGATGTGGAGATATTTTACAGTTCCTTTAACATATCGAAAATGAAATGTATAAAAATCTTTTAAAACAGTTTGAGTGGAGAGGATGTTAGAAAATAATTATTCTATTTACTCTAACTGATAATATTTAAAAATCTAAAATTTGAACCAGATCCTGAATCACAGAGCAGTCAACATGTAAACATTCAACTCAGGCCATGGTGAGCCAGGGGCTTTAAGTTTAACGTTAGTCTAACACAGACAGGCATCAAAAGCCAAATCTACACATAAAACATCTTAATTCCTTAGTTCCTGCTACTTTCTTCTACTTAACTACCGCACAGTAGGTTAGGTTAGTGGACCTGAGGTTAAGAACAAAAACCTCAAAATAAAAATAACAGTGGTTAGGAGAGGTAGTCTATGTTCAATGTTCATGATGGATAAATATGTTCTACAGAAAATGATAAAAGCTTTATTGTACTGGCATGTGAAATATTTTACGCTTTTTCACTTTAAATAAATCAGATCTGTTCATCCAGTCTAAATAACAAATGTAGCAATATTTGATTGAGTGGCATTTTGAGTTGACATTTTGCTTTAAGTGAATTTCAGTTAGAGATTTAGGCAGTCTTTTTTTTTAAACATGAATGTCTCAGGAAATATTATGCAGACATTAAAATGAAGATAACATATATATTATGTGTGTGATTGACAGATATATTATTGAAAGTCAGAAACAAAACTGTACTACTAGGATTATTATTATTTAAAACAAACTAAAAAAACTACCTTCTTTCCACAAACATATGCATAGGCTAAAAAGCTAGGAGAAAATATACAAAAATCCTAATGCTAGTTATAACAGGGTCATAAGATCAGTGTGACAGGGTGATAAGATTAGAAATGATCACTTTTCTCAATTTTTCTATAATGAAATACATCAATTTAACAAATATGCAAGTGAAAGAATTATCTAGAAAGGTAATCTAGGAAGGTCTTTATCTTTTTTCCTTTTTTTTTTCTTTTTTCCTTTTTAAATAAATGAGAGTCAATCATGTAGAAGTACAAATAAAAACAAAAGCGTTTAAAATAGCTGACTCAACAGTCTGTTCTTGAAAGTACCATAAAGCAAAGAGGGAAGCAGGCCTCACGTGGGTGAAGAAGCTCCTGCTGGCCTAGAGGCCTGGCTTCCCCATGTTTTCTCACGTCACTAACCAGCAGAATCCTTGCTCGGGTGGTTCAGTGATGTGATGTGCACGGTTCCATGGAGCCAAACCTTGGTTCAGGCAGAGGGCTCCCAGGAGATAAGACTCGTTCCATTTCACAGTTCAGTCACAAGATAAACATGTCTTCCTACTAAAGCAAACCCTGAAATGTCAAACACTATTCTCCTCTCTGTGATTATGCAGCCCAGAAATGCACTTGTCAACATGGCAACTGGAAAACCAGCCAGGGAAGAATAATGAATGATGGTTAGTTATAGATTTCAAGGTTTAAGCATAAACCAAAACTATTTTCTAAGTTTTCACATTTCCTTAACCCCCAAAGAAAAAGAAATCCTGCAGCTTCATAGTTTTTACATGAATAACAATTTACTGGATGTTTATTGAGAGAGGTTTAAAGTATTCTCTCTTGTCCAAATTAAATTTCTTCTATTCTCGGGAGATTCTGTGGAATCTAGAAAAGGCTCTGTGAGAGGAGAATAGTTGTATAGAATTTAGAAAGACACATATACAATGTATGCATGTCAAATCTCAGTAAGAAAATAATTCACTTTCATTGCCATGTACAAAATGTAAAATACCCACAGACTAATACAGACTCGTTTGCCACTGTATATAGAAAGTAGCCGTCTACTTACTGTTTGAGATTTCTTCTTTTTCTTTTTCATTGACCTGAAAAAACCTTGTTTCTCCTTTTCCTTGAGTTGTTCGGAATGACTAATGTTTTCAGGACTTTTCCTAAATGGGAAGACATTTTTATCATATTGATCTTTCAATCATTCTCCTGCCATTATATGACAAATACAATGAAGCCTAAAAAATGCATGAAACCAGATTCAAACAGCCATGAAAAATCAAGTACATAGGTAAAAAGCCTTTATAAAAGCACAGGAGGAACTGAATCTAATCAACCATGGTTAATGATTAGCCTTTGGCAGAGATACATTTGAACTGGCAATTTGAGCGTTATTACAAATGATCTGGTAACTGGGCTGCAGGACCATTTTCATGCTGTTGAAAATCTCAAAATTTGAGAGTCTGAAAAGCATAGTTTAAAGGATGCCTTTTGCATAACTCTCCAAGGGAAATAGCTGAAACATTTTCAATATCTTCATTTTTCTATTTACCTTTCTAAAGTCAGCTCGACAAGTTCATTATTACGGGCTTGCCAAGATACTGAACATAAAAAAACAAAACCAAAAACCAAAAAACCAATGATACTACAAAAGCATTGTAAATAAAAGTAAAAATTACCTCAAACTGGAAAATTCCTTTATAAAAAACCTTATACCCATTTATTGAAACTAAATTGAAAAATAGATCAGGTAAGAAAAAACGTAGACAAGATGAATGCTTTAATACAAACACTCTTGGAAAAAAAGCTGCTAACTGAAAATACTGACAACATTAAGTTTCAAACCACACTGACACCACCGGGTATTTTAACACAAATAGGAGGTATTAATAGACAGCAAACAGGACACCTTGGCCCTAATAAGTTGCTGACTTGTATGTTAACAGAGGTCCTGCATTACATTAATTTACAGTCTTTAAAATGCAGCCCAACTGGTGTTATTCTTGTACTACAGATATAATAAAAAAGGTTGTACAACCACAGAAAATTCATTTGAAAAACCAAAAACTCAAGATCTAAGACACCAAAGGAAGAGATCAGGAAAACATGACTCTGAAGGAGCAATGATCATTTCTTCTTAAGTGTTTAGCCTAAAAGTTAAATAAGAATACCAAGGAAGTAAAAAGATGTACGGTGGGCCCAAGTGTTCCTGAAACTCATTAGGACCTGCAATTTTAAACATAATTGAGAGAGTTCCAAGTTCTGAAGTGAAAGTGTCATAATACAACACAACCAATAAAAATAGCTAGCATTAGAACTCAGAATGATACATTTACAATTTTGAAAGCTAGAAAACTTCAGGTATGATGGAATAGGTAAGAATGGAATAATGAAAAGTTCAGTTCTAAGGAACACAATAAAACAGTGTAGTTTGCTAGAATCACAAAAGCACAACTCTCAGAATTGAAAGGAACCTCACATAGCATCCAGACCAATCAGCAATACTATTTTTAATATCCTATAACTTCCAGAAGTTAAAGAACTATTTGCTTATGATATAGCTTATGTCCTTCCATAATGGGGTCTGCACCTAACCTAGAAGCACATCAAAGCGTTCAGATTAACAGGCACAAGTTCTTTTTTACTGATCAGAATGTAAGTCTAACAAAATCTCCAAGCCTGCCGAGGGTCAGTAGTAAAAGTGCTTTCTGCCAATCTGGAAAATCTTTTAAGGGGAAGGCGTTGGTCATGACTGCAAGATCAGGATGGGAATGGACATTACTTTAAGAATGTTAATGCTGGTGTGAGGGCAAGAGAAGGCCTGAGACACTAGTCCTAGGAGGAAGAGATCTGAGATGGGAAGTAGAGTCTCTATCCAATAAAATGAAAGTGACGGGGCCAGTGAGAAGGGTAATGAACAATAAACAGCAACAGGAGAAAAAGCCCAGTGTTTGTAGTCCCTTATGAGCACAAAATGCAGGGAAGACGAATCAGAGACCCTCTGCAGGGTCTTTTCAGAGATACTAGATAAACTAGAGCCCAAGGGAAGGAGGAATGATGAGGAAAACATCTTCAGACTGAGACTGAACAGAGGTGATGGGGCCAAGATTCAGGCAGGCCAAAGATCCGAGAGACTAAAAAAAAAGGAAATAAATTACCCTGAACTAAAAGGATGAAAGCTAGGAGTAAAGTGTGAGCAAGCATGTATCACAAAAGATACAAAAAGGAAGCCAAGGAGAAAGAAAAAGAGTACAAGTGGGAGAGAGAGGAGAAGCTACATGGAAACATACACATACAGAAAGTTAGAGAAACAGAGGGAAAAAGCCTGGAAGATAGACACAGAGAGAGGTAGAGACAGAGAGAAGCCACTTGGAACATAGGCTCCTAAAAAGCTGTGTGTTGTACAAAAGGATGAAGACAGAAACTTGATCAGTTATGACCAATATTATACCATAACTTACCTCATTTGTCAAGTCTGGACCTTATGATTCTACCTGGTATAGGCAACAGACAGGTCCAAAAGGAGCAGCACAAGAGAAGGTCAAGTGGGTGATCACATCCATCTCAGGTACGGGACCTCTGAGAAGGCCCACCCAGCTAGTCACCTGGCACATTATCCAGGTCTGATCAAACAGCTGGGGTGGGGGTAGCAATCTCCCCCTACTCTGACATCTTCATAACATAACTCCTTTTATAAGGGGTCAAGAGGAAAGAGAGATTTCCAAAGACTCCCCTAAAAAAGGAAGGAATAAAGTTGATGGAATCAAAGCCGACCAACATTTATGTAGTACTGTGTATGTGGTAATAAGCCAGTGTTAGGTATCGGGTCTAGAGAGAAAAATAAAACAAGGAGTGTGACCTCAAGCTGCTCACAGACTCAAGGCAAGATGCCCAAAGGTTTGACAGAGGGTCAGACATCCAGTGCTTGAGTATAGCAGTGTGACACTTTCCCTGCTACCTCCCCTCCCCTGGCCACAGGACTAAAGTAGTCAGCTGATGTCTGAGAAGAAAATAATCAGTGAACAATTTTGCAAGTTACGATGGCAAGCAATAATGGATGCCAATATATTCATAACTTAACCAGAAGAAAAAGCCTGGGACTGTGCGAGCAGTGATAGCAATCTTTTGCTTACATTAATTACTGGAATTTCTAATTAATTTGGTTTACTGTATAAAATCACTTTTAAACCCAAACTTGACAGCTGTCTTTCCAAACGTATATATTTTGTCTTTTTAAGCAAACTAAGAGCAGCCTGTTTTATAAATCTATATGCTATATGGATATCTATTCTACATATGAAACCATGAGGACTATAAATGATATTCCCAATGGGAGCCTGAGAAAGGCACAAATACCCTCTCCTCTCCCTGGCCATTCGTTGGGATCTTGTTCCCTCTTCACACTGTACTGTTATTTGGGATTACTTCTTGCCTGAAAACCTCAGTGCTAACTGCTAAAACTGTGCCTAAGAGTTAACAGGCTTAGGGTGCCTGGGTGGTTTAGTCAGTTGAGCACCCAAATCTTGATTTCTGCTCAGGTCATAATCTCAGGGTCATGAGATTGAGCCCCGCATTGGGCTCCATGCTCAGCAGAGTCTGCTAGAGATTCTCTCTCCCTCTGCAGCCCCGCAAACCTTGCCTCCACCCTTCTCCCCACTTGTGCAGGCACATTCTCCATCTCTCTCTCTCTCTCTCATAAATAAATAAATAAATAAAATCTTCAAAAAAAAAAAAAAAGAAAAGAAAAGAAAAGAAAAGAGAAGAGAAAACAGGCTTATAGGGAGGGTGGAGGTATTTTCCTATTAGTAAAGATGAATCTGACTGCATTAACTCTGCTTTTTTTTTTATTTTTTGTTCTGAGATAGTCTGGCTCATCTCCCAGTTCTTAACTGGATTCTGGATAGCTGAGATGGCCAGAATAACGACTCTGGATATTATACTACAATATCTATCACTTTAAAAATGTGCTATAGGAACTTGATCTTTCCAAGAAACATATACACTGCAGAAATAGTCTCTTCCCAAAAGAAATGGGGAAGTACCATTATCAAGGAGAAAGAGACTGCCCTTAGGCAAGTGATAATTTAGGAACAGTGATTCACTATGTTACCACAGCAAGGCCATTCACATTTTTTAAAATTATCAAGCTGCATTTCTCTCAAATATACACAATATGGTGAACCAATGTGGTCTCTTGTTCAAGAAAAAAAAATCAAGATAAGTCAAACTCATTAAATGACTTAGACTAGGTTAGATGTGATGCTCAAAGGAGAAGTATCATAGCAGCATTAACATGGGGGGCAGTGGGGACAAAAGAATACTGCAATTCAAAGCGGTAATTCTGAAACCCTCTCAAAAGCTTCCTAACAGCAATATCACAGTAGGGATGACTTGACGGAGGCTTGTCTAAAGTCTGAAGTTCAACGCCCCAATTATGCCTTTAATTCTTTTTTAAAAAAAACACAACTGTTTTCCGGTTTCTATATATATCTGGTCTAAACAAGCTCTACTCAAACTGACTATCGAAAAGACAGAAACAATATGTTTCTAATACTATTTATCCCACATTTGGATAGGTCTGCCCCCAAGGCCTCTCTGGGCCCCCTTCCTCAGGGGGCAGTTTCCTCACAATGCCCTAGAATGGAATGTGATGCTCCAAAGGTGGCCCACAACCCTTTCTTTGCAGATGAAACTTAGGGCTCAGAGTGAGGAGGGACAGTTTTAGAGTCAGACTACCAGTCATCTGGCTCTTCACTTCGGGGATAGGGGCACCTCACTTCTCCCAGTTTCCCTGCCCCTGAGGGAAGTGATGGGGTGGCTGGACAGAACAATGGTGAGGATACAGGCCCAAGACCTGATATGCAGTGACTTGCCTGCCCTTTGTGGGGGGATTAGAACCTGGTCCAGGCCCCCTGGTCTGGCAGTGCCCTCTAGACACTCTGTGATGGGTGGGTGGATTACAGAAGAGGTAGGAGGAAGGAAAAATAAAAGAAGAAGAGGTAGGATAGGGAGCCTGGCTGGTTCAGCTGGAAAAGCATACAACTCTTGATCTTGTGGTCGTAAGCTGAATGTAAAGCTTACTTAAAAAGGCCCCAGAGTGGGTATAGAGCTTACAAAAAAAAAAAAAGAAAAGAAAAGAAATAAAAAAAAAGGTGGGGAGAGATGTCCAAAGGAACCCAAGTCACCAAGTGATTAACATTTGTCTGGGACCATCCCCATCTGCCTGGTAGAGATCCAGGGAGAGACCCCTACCCAGTCCCTGGGTCCCTCCCTCTTGGAGATGCCCAAAGGCCAGACCTGACAAGGGTGGTGAGAGGTCAAAAAGGAGCCTAACCTCTACCCTTGGGCCACCCCGTGTGCTAGCCCTTCCAGAAGGCCCAACTGGAGGATCTGGCAACAGAGTAATAAGCTTTAAATCAATCAATCAATCAATCAATCAATCAATCTTAAGTTCTATGCTAAGGACTTGTTTTGCTAAAAAAATTTTTTTTTAAAAAGATACTAATTTTGATCTGACCTAATTGTGATAGAACGATGTTAATCCGTAACCAATTAATTCTCTTTTAAACATTACCACTCCATTATGCAACGTCCAAGAAAAAAAAACAAACAATTTTTTTCTATACAACTGAGACACTATCCTCATGGCTTGTCAAAGGCTCACTTAAAAACTATCAAAGAGGGTAACTGCCAGTTGTGCTTGTGCCCCCAGATTAATGTATGGGGGGACTGGTCTCCAGTCACATGGAAAAAGAATGCACTGAAGTTTCTCAGCAAAGCAAGTGGAGGGGAGACACTTGACAAGTCATACTGAAGCTAGAGGACATCCGTGGTAAAACACTACTGCAGCTAACAGTAACAAGTCACTGCGTGCCAGGCACTGCTTTGGGTGCTTTTGTTGTTTTCCTTCATTTAATGATCACATGAATCCTGTGAGGGAGGTAGGATCCTTAGGCCTATTTTTACAGATGAGGAAACTGAGGGACAGAGGTTAAAGTCACACGGACAGAAGGTGACGTTAATCAAGATGTCCTCTTTCCTGAGTCCAACCTCTCAGGCACTAATGTTAAAACTCTCATTTAGTACATATGGGTGGAAACTGTGCTTATAAAAATCTTTACAACTTTAAAAACATTGTCTTTGTTAGTGTTTTAAAAATAACTAAGTTATTTTTACCATAGGGCGCAGTAGTACTAAAACCTTGATCCAACCCTGCCAACAGGGTGAAAACTGCATAAGCACACAGGGTCAGGAGTACTGAGGGACTCAAGACACTTCTGTGACTTTGGGCAATAAACACCAGAGCTGGAAATCTGACAGAATGGCCCTATTCTAAATTTGCAATGTTACAGGGATGCACCATTTTATTCTGAGTAGAGAACTTAGTAGTTTTATGAAGTACACATAAACACCACTCACATCTAGATTCTGGGCAGTCTCTTTGGGCAGCTGAGAGTAGACAGTCTACATTATTATTAGTTTTTTAAAAGGTCCTTAATCCCCAGGCAGATCTGCTGACAAGACTTAATACATGATACAACTCTCCCTAAATTTTTACTACACATGACACAAAGAGATAAAAGGATAAGCAGAGCCAGCACATCATTTTAGCCTGTGACTACCATTAGGCTTTTTTGTGGTAGCGTAAAGGGTGTTTCTCCATTTCTTTCCTTCCACCCTGAATGCAAGTCAGGTGGCACAGAGGTCAAAACTGCAAGCTTTCTAGTCAGACCCCGTGGGGGGCTAGATCTTGGCTCCCCTCTCCTCTCTGCTAAGGGCTGCCCAGGCAAGCACTTTCTCATTTTGAGGCTGCAGCTTTCTTGTCTGTGGAAGGGGAGCTGCTCCCACCCCAAAGGCTGAGAACCAAGTGAGCCTGGCATAGGAAGTGCTAAGCAACATGCATGCTCTGTGATACAATAGCAACAAAAGAGATAGTGAAAGATAGCATTCCTTTTTTTTTTTTTTTTGAAAGATAGCATTCCTATCAGAAGTACACAATGGAAGATACGTGAGGCATTTAGTGACCAAGCAGATTTTTTTCTTCTTTTACGTGATATTTAATATAAATGCTGAACTTGAAAGAAAACATTACAAGTAATGATAAAACACAGTCTCCTACTCAAACAATCTCTCTTGAGAAAGCAAGCAAGCTAAAAAGTGTATCCAGAATTCTTTGAAATCTCAAATCTACAATTAGAAAAAAGGAGAGTAAAAACAAATCAAAATACCCACCATGGATCGAATGCTGGTTGTCTTTTTGAGTGGTTAGTTCCGGAACTGCTCTCTGATGGTAGGGAAGAAACTCTGGTTGATACATTATTTTCATGGAAAGAATTGTCTGGACGAGGAGATGGCACTGAATAACAAAAAACTCAGTCACTGATGGACTTTTTTGGGCAAAGCAGTTCTTAACTTATTCAACTGCATTCTCTCTCACACAAATCAAACAAGTAAGTCAAAACCCCCCTTCTCCTTTATATACCTTTTGTGTTTTCTGAGGATGGAGGCATTCCAGGGAACATTATCCATCCCCCCAGTGATTACAACATTAGTTTGCAAGGATAAGTTAACATCAGGCAATATACATTCGAAACATAAATTGACTTGTCAGCTGCTTAAATGAAGATTGCAGGATATTTAAAAGTATGAATAGGACAGCCTCCTCTCACTGTTTTTGACATTCTTTGAAATTGAGGCTTTCCTACATCATAGATCCAACTATGCAAAATCTATTCTTAGTCTGAAGTGACTCTTAACAATATATGTGGTACAGTATACTAACTGTGCTTTAAGCCTTACACTTGGGAGGCAGAGTCAATTTTGTATTTTTTTTTAAACTAAATTCCAAAGAAATTCAGTTATTTGCAAAAATACTATTTTTCTCTAAGTTCTCAACCCAGGAATGAAGAGAAAGACAAGCCACAACATATGTGGGTACTTTTCTGCCCTTTGTTGGGAGTGGGATGGAGGGAGGCTGTTACCATCTTTTTCTCTAAGTTTTTAAGCTTGATCATAAATCAAAATATATTGCAAATTTCATCACAAAGGAATATACAGGCTGAATATCAAGATAAATGACACCATTTCACCTGACTCAGGTGAAACCAGTAGGACTAATAACAGGAAGTATTCTGGAAACATCTGTCATTTCAATGTTACCACTAAATCTTCATCCAGTTAGATTTAGTAGAATCACTGAAATGACAGATATCTCCAGATGTTTCACCTAGTTAAGTCTCTTCCTTCTATTTCTGGACTTTCTAAAATAAAAATGTTCTACCTGCCAAATCTTGAAGTGAATTATGAGGAAGACAAATGAGGGGCTTTGCTGATATGAACCAATTTAATTCACTTGCAATCAAAATAAAACTGTCACTCCTAATTAATCAAAACTTTGTTAACATTTTATATTAAAGTATATGCTCCAGACCTGTGTGGATATAGAAATAACACAGGTATGGTCCATTTTGGAAGTAAAACTTATAGTAACAGAAAAAAAGGCATTTGCTCATGTACACAATATTTTAATTAACTTTAATCTGGATTAAAATTTTAGCCCCTTAAGATTCTAAAGTAACCACAGCAGGAGGAAAAACAGAATGCATTAAATGGCATATTCAATGCCCTATACTTTTTCCAAATGGGGGGCTAGGAGGAAACAAGTAGCCTAATTCAATACACATTTAGTCCTAAATAACACTTCTATACATTTATTTAGCCTCAAGTTCTTAGTTAAAATGACCAAGCAACTGTCCATGTTCTACCCCAATTCCTGTCCCTTCCAGCTGTCCCCCCAAATCAACAGAATAGTAAAAAGCCAAATGATGTGGGTGAGGGCAACTGTAGAAGGTCATGATGACTCTTAGGAGGCCTTGAGAAGCTAAGCCTTTGGAAACCCAGAACCTTGCCCCTACTCTGGTGGGCTTGCTGTTAGTCACCCCACAGGGGCTAGAGCTCTGGAGGGGCTCTCATTCATTCTATTGCTACATAGCTCTTCAAAGGGGATGCCTTTTTCTGTCAACATCTCCTAAATCCATACAGCCTCCAAAGCCTCTGTTTCAGCTGTCAGTTAATCATCGAAGCACATTTTTCAGGCTATGCAAGTATACTTGAAGATACTCTTTCATCCAATCAACAAATATTTATGAAACTGTCAGACAGTGTGCTAGTCAATGAGGGTAAGAGAGGAAAATATGATAAAGGGCCTTGCAACCTTGTGAGAGAGAAATGAAGACCGAGAATCAAGTCTGTCATGTTAGAGGCCTAGACAAGGAACCATGGATAGAGCAGAGAAGAAAATGTTTCACTTTGTCTGGGTGGAAAGGGAAGACATCGTACTGCGGAGGATTTCAAACTAGAGCCTTACATGGGACAAAAATAAGCTATCCAAGTAATGGGGGGAATGTGTTTCAGGTGGGAGGAGCAGCAGCTGGAGAGGATGGCAAGGGCCAGGGCATGGGATATCTGGAAAGTCATCTTAAGGAATCTAGATCTTGTTGTGATGGCAATGGGAAACCACTGGAGGGCCATCAGCAGGTGAGAGAGGACTGGGGGCAGGTGGTGGGTTGCCTTGCTCTATTTTTGCCCTGTAGCATTTATTATCTTTTACTGTTCTACATTATTATTACATTTAGTGTAGTTCTCTCCTTGTGAGAATGTGAGCTCTGTGAAGGTGGAGACCTCTGGCTGTCTCATTCATGGACATGTTCTAAGCTAGAACAGTGCCAGGCATACAGGTGACCTCAATAAATATTTTAGGACTTAACTGAATGAATGAGTGGTATGGCCAGGACACAGCTTCAGATGGATCATTCCAGAGACTGATGTGATAGCAATTTTGGGAGATAGGGAGATCAGCTGGGAGGCTACTCAAAGAACTTAAGTCAGAAGCCATGAGGGCCTGAACCCGAAGCAGGGAAAGGTATTGGAAGGCGACAGCACAGACAAGGATGGCGCTGACCTCAAGTCAAGTGTAGTAGAGGGCATGGGCTGGAGGTGCAGGGAAGGGGAAGGTAGAAAGGACCCTGGTGGGTGCTCAGAGCTGGGCTTACCTCGGTAGAAACTGCCAACTCTCCTTGGAACAGGGTCATTGTACAGGTGCCGATTTTCTTTGGGGGCGGCACCATCATCAGAGTGAGGGTCATGATATGCTCCACCCTGAGACAAGAAAGAGGTTTATAAAAAGTTACAATAGAGTGGTGATGAGGTGGCTTATGAACTTAGAATAGTACCTAACTGATCTAGAATTTACTCCAGGATCTTTTAGAGAGAAAATTCAGAATTATGGCATGAGGAAAACTACTTAACATTTTAAATGTGAGCCAGTTTGTTATTTGTGGGAGACTGGGTATGAAGAAATTTTAAAAGATAGGCTGTAATAATGTCACATGACCACTCTTTACAAACAAGTTTTATCATAAAAGTTAGCAACTTGTAGAGAATTCAGACCTCAGACTTCTGCCTTGCATGGAACGAAGAGGTGCCCTCTCTGGAAGATTCTTTAACAGAAGATCGAGCCACAGTCATCTCTGGAGGGAGCTGTTCTCCAGGCTGAAAGTCAAATTTAAAAGGATTTATAAGAGTGTCCTGTTCCTAGGGATGAAAATCACCTAAATCACCATGGGCTTTATTTGGCATAATTAGTACCTTCACCAGCTAAAATAAAAAATGTTAGTTGGCTAAAATACAAATTGTCCCATAAAAGAGTGAATCATCTGATGAATGTAAAATAATTCAAACAAATGTCACACAGATGGAAAGTGAAATTCTCATTAAAGTTAAGGCAAGCAGGGAAAGAATTAAGCTGAAAATAGTTCAATTAATTATTAAAAACAAAGAAAATTATCTTCCTAATATCTAGATAGTCATGGTTCTGTGTAGCACTCTAATTAGATTCTATTAGTTAATCCAAAATTTCTCTAGCAGATTTTTCCAAAAAGAACTATGGAGATCCAAAATTATTTTTCATTAAGAACTTAAATGGCAGATCCAGATGAAATCAAATGTTCTTTGGATATATCATGGAAGAGAATCAGTATTCCTAATCATTTGTCTTAACATTTCCTAACTACTGTAATTATATGTACTTAAGTTTTCTTAATCTTCTCTAGGATAACAGTACTTGTATTTCATGTAATTTTCTTAACCATGATCAGGACAGCATACATCTCAGGCGACACTGCCTATTTCCCTCAAGGAATTGAGACACAAGCTAAGAGCAGCCTTGGTCCACAATGGTGTTCATTGAAGGGAAAAGAAGCACTTCATACCCTCGAGGAAAACAGGATTAAGGAACAAAATTACCAAGCCATTAGGAGGACTTAGCTGCATTGTGTATCTGCACATTACACACAGAATTTTATTCTTGAGCCTTACACAATGTATCAAAAACATTTTATTTAAACTTTAAATAGGATTCTTTGTCTCCCTCAACTCCCCAAATGTACTATGAAATAATATTCTTTCATCTGATGTAGACTTTCTTCTTCCTAATTTGTGATAAGATCTCATTTGAATTTTAGCACCTGTAGAGTTTACAAAGCTCTCTAGCAAAGTTTTTAAGAAAATAAATGATTTATATCTAACCTAAACTCTTACATGACAATGCTAGTTCGGTCCCCTTCTTCTCGAAGGTGGCTGCAGTATTTTGTAAGAGTGATTCCCATCATTTATTTGTGGCTTTAGTCACTTGTCAACCATCTGCCATCTTTGTGCCTTTAAACTTGTACTATCTTGCAGCTTGGTACTGTACCTCCCGAACTGGACTTAAAATTCTGTAACAGCTGGGTCTGTGCTTAGCCCACAGTAACCACTTATAATTAGATTATCTCCACCATGTTCACAGTCTTTTTTCTGGAACTCTGAGAACCAGTCCATTTGTTCTTTCTCCAAGTTATAGCTTTTTTTTCTTATATCTCCTCTATTTACACTATGCTGCATGCCAGCACACTTTACCTAGTTTTGATCTCCATCTCATGTTTATGGGCAGCTGCCAAGGCTCTATAGATCTTTCTAGGCCCCAGAGGTTCTCTCTTCTCTAGAGGGACTCCTCCAACCACTGTTCTGACTCCAGTCATGGCATCTCCCACTATGTGCCATCTCCTCCATGCTGTGCACGTGTACATTTCCCATTTCTCCTCCTCTTACCTGGGTACCAGTCTCTCCAACTTCATGGAGGACTGCTCTGCTTAAGGGCCCAGGGTCACTTCTGCCTCAATAGGTCAGCATGATACAGTACAAAGAATGCTGGCCTAGGGACTGAGACATTGTCCCACAATCCCAATCCTGCCTCGGACTATTTGGATAAACTTGGGCAACCCGCCTAACTTCTTGGATCCTCCGCACATTCATCTATGAAATGAAGAGGTTGAATTAGGGGACTTCAAAAGTCCTTTGTCCTACCCTGAAAAGGAGCTCCTAGGGAAGAAGCCTGAAGGCTTCCTTTATCCTCTATTCAATTCTTCAATTCGCACATCGTGTTGTTTGTACATCTGAGGAGTCTTTAAGACCTACCATTTCCCACGAGCACTGACTTAGTCTAGAACATACTCCGCTCTCCTCATGCTTGATTTACTCCAAAAGCCACGTCAAATCTCACATTTTTCACTACAGCAGTGTGGAACAAGTTGCAATCCCCACAGCACACCATGCTATTTACTGTCTCTACTAGCCTCCCCCTCTTTTCTGCCCTCTCTTCCAGCTTTTCCTAAGGTCGACTCCACTTCCTCCCCTAGTTAAGCCTCAGAAATCTCTTCTCAGATATCACCTCCCCTGGGAACTGTCCATATCCCCTGCCTGGACTATGCTGTGCCTCTGTCAATGGCACACTGGCCTCTGGCACAGTGTGGGCACCAGCCTCACGGTATAGCCATGACTGATCCCTGGTAACTGGGCCCCAACACGCATGCCAAGAGGACAGGGGCCACACCTTCCTCATCATTCTCAAGAGAGCCTACTGTGGTGCCTCATGCAGTCAACACCTGAACACATCCTCATTCTTCAGCCATCTAAAACTTCTTTCTACATCCTAGCTCAGAGCAAGATCTTTAGTTGCTCCCAAAGTCATTTCTGACTGCTCCTATTTATGATCTTTCTCTGTTCTCAACTCCTATTTATAGTCAGTGCCATAGTAATTTGCTTCTTAATTATTTCATTGTGATCATGTATAATTTACTGTTCCCTGAGATAAGATAAGTTTGTCAAGGGCAAGGACCCTACCTCAAACTCTTCTGTGTCTGAGAACACCTAGCATAGAGAGTGTTAAACATCTAGAAAACAGCCCCCGCCATCACAGAAAGCAGCAACAATTAAAATGTGTTGGATGCTCTGTGCCAAGCACTGGGCATGGTGCTTTATACACCATGTTTAAACCTTACAACACTACTTGGATGAGGAATCTGAGGCTAAAAGATTATATCACTTTCACAAATTTACATAGTTTGAAGCAGACTACAGAACTGGGACACAAACCTAGGTCAACCTGGTTTCCCAACCTGAGCTCTTAGCTACTTTGCTACACCAACTGCTCCATTACTGACAGTCTCCAGCCCATCTTCAGCACCCATCCTGCTAAACCTCCCATTACATATTCCATCCATATTTCCTGAAGTTCTGACACACGCTGATGAATCTATTTTTATACCCTCGAAAAGAGGAGTATTTTCCCTACACAAAACTCTTCTCTCTTTCTAAGAGAGCTTTTCAGAGCTTTCTCTTTCTGAGAAAGAGGGCTTTTCTCTACCCTCACTTCTTTGCTGCAGATGAATGTTTCATATCATGAAAATATAATTTAAAAAACGTGTTCTGTTGTAGGAATGCTACTTCTTTTAAACAGGTTACTGTCAGCAGTTCTAGAGGTTGACAAATCAGTAAGATGGAGGAAGCATTAAGATAAAAACATTGCCTTGAGATTTAAAAACAATCCAAAAGACTGTAAATTGACATTTATTTTGGCTTGAAGTTAAATTTACCTAGGGTTCTACATAAATTAGAAATGTTTCAATTCAGTGAAAATATCGAATAAGGTAGAAGTAAAAGGGTACGATTTAAGCAAATGTGGTCTGGAGAGATTAGAGAAAATCTCTACAAATCACACTAAATTTGGGGAAAGTTAAAAACTAACCCAGACAACTGATTGATTCTATAATAAATCAAAATAGGATTTTCTCAACAAAATATGCCAGAAAGGAACACTTAAGAAGCAGATTTCTAAAAATAAGTTTTGTTGAGTTCTCCTGAATACTCAACAGTGGACCTTAAATTAATTTTTTTAATAGATAGTCCTTTGAGTACTGCTTCCCTAAATACATTCTATCAAAAAAGCACAACCTCCTATAGTAGGGAAAATTAAAGACTGATCCTATTCACACCCCACACCACCTTCCCATGATGAGCTAACAGATCCAGTCAAGGTCCAAGTTGTACCTGAGGTGATAGGAGCTGCAGGCTGTTGGCCCTGGCCGCCATTCCTTGCCCTACGCTCAAGCTTCCGTCTAAGCCTTTGGCTCTTACTTTGTCCCGGGTCACATACATGGAATGCCTATGTGGACGCTGCTGGGAAGAGAAGGGGCTAGTATAGCCCAGTCCATAAGAAAAAGATTCATGAGGTGCAGACAGAGAATGGGAATGGCTGCTGTCCATGTGCTCGGGCAGCTTCAACTCCTCCATCGTTTTAGAATGCCTGGTTGTGGTTCGGCGTGAGTCAAGAGTGCCCTCGCTTCGATTATTTCTCCCGGAGGGGCTGAGCAAAGTTCTTGTGTCACTGTGCCTGGTAGGGGTTGGGCTGGTAGGAGAGTTCAAGTCCAAGCAGCTGGATGGGAAGTACCTACTGGTATTGGGTTCTGCAATTTGGGCCCTGGCTTCAGAAAGGTTGCTCACAGACTTGGAGTCACTCAACGCCCCGTGGCTTTTGGCCTTGGTCCTGTAAGAGGGACTCCTAGAGGACTGGGGAATAGTGTCAATGTAGCTATGCCGACTCTGCTTCTCAGTGGGCTGCAGTGTCCCGGCTTTGCTCTGAGAGCTTTCCATAAATGAGTGCCGGTTCTGCTGAGATCTGCTGCTTGACTTGAGGTACTTTGTGCCTGGGCCTTCGGAAGGCTTTGGGTCAATATTAAAATCAAACTCTGTCTTTGACTTGGCTTCTTTTGGGCTGAGAAGATGCGGTATGTTATTGTTGGTTAGATCTTTGCTGGTAGACCCAGGTTGGCTGCTTGCTTGGTAGGTTTTGGTGTGCATGGGACTAAGAGTAGCTCCAGCAAGATTTCCATTTAGGAAGCTTTCGTTGGCAGGCAGACCTTCGTCAGCCCGAGGCAGACCCACACTTAGGTTCTGGATGTCCTTGCTGTTGGATCTGTGGTGTGACTGCAAAGCAGTACTTTTGCTGGCTTGGTTTCTATGTTAAAAACAAAAGAAGTATATTAGTTTCCTTCAATAGCAGACACAAAAAGTATCATTTAAAAAGTGGGGGGGGGTGCGCTTGAGTGGTTCAATCAGTTAAGTGTCTGCCTTCAGCTCTGGTCATGATCCTATGTTGGGCTCCCAGTTCAGCAGGGAGTCTGCTTCTCCTTCTCCCTCTGCCTGCCACTCCCCCTGCTTGTGCTTGCTCTAATAAATAAATAAAATCTTAAAAATATATATACACATGCACACACTCCTAAAATACCTCAAAGACTAAAAACATTAACTCATATGCCAACAAATAACAAGTAACCATGGAAATAAGCTGCTTAGATCATGTCACTCTGTAATAAAGCACTGGTCCTGATGAAACAATTTTGACATCCTTAAATGTTCAACTAACTTGTAGCCAACATCGGTTCTAACTAATAATCTGGGAAAATAAGTTTTTGCGTGCTGGTGCTCACATGAGTGTTTGTTAGGAATATCTGATAAGAGAGCTAAGCTATAACAAACTCTTTATAATTCTTTGAATGTCAGAGGCAACATTTAGACTTGAAGGTCATGATGTTCCTTGAACTTCTCTTTTATTTGTAAAACTCACTGCCTGCTTCAGAGATACATACTCACAGCACATACACCAGTACTGTCTTTTGTCTTTAGTTTATATCATCAAAGAATCAGAGTTCTTGCAATATACTCAATAAAAGAAAATGACACTCTAAAATGAAATGTAAACTCTGTTGGAAAACATCATGATTAAGGTTTATGTTTTAGAGAGGTGGCAATACTTTTAGGGCACTTCAGATACCTCCATATACACTAAACAGGAATGTTTCAGTCTTTAACTGAAATCACAGGGATCTAGAGAGTTAATTTCTCTCCAGAAGACACAATTTATTCTCTTCATCATCTCACACGTCATTATTCCAAACTGACTGAGGCTTTCTTTAGGATTTAAAGCTTCATTTCCTTCTTGGCTTAAAATACAAAATATAAATCCAGAGGAAAACCTTGTCCTCTATTGGAAAGCTGAAACTGACCTCACAGCAAGGTCAGTTTCTTCTACTGCAACTATTTAAAGAAGCATAGTCTGAGATAGGAGAATGTTTTTAAATGAAAAATAATGTACACAACTCTCTTTTACTATGCATTCCAAAAATGCTGCTGCAAATATTGCTTTTGCTAAAGATGGTTTGACATGGGAGAGTTTTGTTCCCATCACAAACTAATTGAAAGAAAAGTCACATTTTTTTGTCTATATAATGGTAATCTGTGAAACTATGCCTTTCCATTTTCCCTGAAAATCTACCACTCAGGCATCAAAAGTAAGGGCTCTTTTCCCATCCTCCTACCGTGTTTTTTAAAAAAAAAAAGTATCTGATATCAAGAAAGCCTGTAACAGTTGTGGAAGACCTCATCTCCTAAATGCATTCACTGATCTCTCCTAATTCAGTCACAAGAATTGCAGCATCAAATAAGGTGCTTTAATAATATGAGCTAACTAAATAAACAGCAGGTCCTAGACCTAGAAAGAAATTACAAAGAAACAAGAATTTTGGGGTACCTGGGTGGCTCAGTTAAGTGTGGGACTCTTGATTTTGCATATGGTCATGACCTCAGGGTCCTGAGATTGAGCCCCACATGGGACTCTGCACTCAGCAGGGAATCTGCCTCTCTTCCTCTTCCTCTGCCCTCCCCCCATCACCTTACACTCCCTAAATGAATAATTAAAAAAACTTTAAAAATAAAAAAGAAACTAAAGTTTCACCTTCTGCTAAATGATGCCAACTGACTATCTCCAGATCAACATAAAGCAGTCATCATATCCTAAGGTATCAGGTTGGCTTTTTTTTAAAGAGAGAGAGCACGTTGGTGACACGGTGGTGAAGAGGGGGCAGAGGGAGAGGATCTTAAAGCAGATTCCATGCTGAGGGCAGAGCGGGTTCGATCCCAAGACCTGAGATTAAGACCTGAGCCAAAATCAAGAGCCAGAGGCTTAATGACTGAACCAGCCAGGTACCCTAAAGGTATCAGGTTTTAAACCATCAGAGTCCTTTGTCAACTTTTATCTCTGTAACTAAAATATCTTAGCAACTTTTCAAAAACCCAAACAATAATATGCAAATAGTCTAATCCATAAGTAGATCTAAGTGTGCTGGTTATCTTCTATTTACCCAACTCCCTACCTGTTCTCCATTTCGCTCTGCCCCATTCAGGGCCTCAGGAGCTTAATGGTGCACACTGCATCACCCAGATCCCTTGCCACCTAACTCTTAGTTGGGTTTAGCAGTGCAAAGGGCTGGGGGCGGTCTCTCCTACTCCTCCCCAGCATCAGCACCCTAACTCAGATCATAGCTGTGCCTGTCCAGATTACAGCTCTCATGGGGTGGATCCTCCTGCCTGATTCCCCTGGGCTCTCATATTCCCACTTCCTCCCTTTCTCCTTCAGGTCTAGAGAAGGTAATAGCGGAGATAGCACATGCAGATATTGTGTAATGCCTGAAGCTCCAAAGAAAATCAGAAAAGGATAGAGAAGATTGAGGCCAGCTGCTAGAGCTTTTGAAACTGTTGGAAAACACTTATCTCAAAGTAGAGCACAAACCTACATGTTAGGAAGAACATATTCATAGCAACATAAGATACAATTTCTAATGTGACAACGGAGGCTATAACGTTAAGGTAGAAACATTTATCAAAGAGTCAGGTTTCTATAAAAGTACAAAGAGCCTAAACTGCTATTCTGAAAGCTTCTTAGTATTAATTTGAAGCCATTGAGCTTTGCACATAATTCTTAAGTAGAAAGGGCATCAAATTGTCTTCAAATTGGAGTTCTGCCAAAGCACAACAATAAAAAAAAACTGCTCTGAAAATTCCATAGATCTCTTTGGCACACAACTATAAGGAATCTGTGTTAAACTGCCAAGCATTTAAGAGGATTTTATATATAAACCCTTCTGAAATGGCTGGCAGAACAGACTATCTCTTTAGTTAAAATAACTTTTCAAAGTAAACATCAAAGATGCAAAGCTATACTTTTATGGAGAAGGATGGCAAAGCAGAATTGGTGAGAGGGCAGGGCAGGCTGAAACACCATCCCACCATATCCAAGGTCAGGAGAACCTCAGCATAGTCTGACAGAGACCTAGGAAGGGGCAAGGTAATGCAAGAGTCCACTGCCTCTTCTACAGAGATGTGAACGTGGACAACAGCTACAAGCTGTGTGAATGTGTCTCAGGGACGAGGCAGCTGAGTGTTTAAGTGGCAGCCAATGTGCTATGATGCTGTGAACACCTCTACAGTAGTGCTGGGAAGTCCAAGTTAGCCACAGTCTGTGTAGAATTAGTGTCCCCAACAAGAAGGGATTCCACAGAGGAAATGTGAACCATAGACAATGTAGAGAAAAGGACAGTTCCACATACATGTAAACTGAGCTGAGATCATTCCTAGAGAAACTACTCAGGACTTTTTCTTGTAAAATTCCACACAGTGTAAAGACCTAAAAACAAATTCTTCCACAGATTTTATTTACTTATAATTTCTATTCTCGTCTACTTTAAAAGAAGATTTGGGTGGACTCCTAGAAGACCCATATCAACTCATCACCACACATATCCTCCTCACCACACTTATCCTCCTTGATAGAATAGTCCTAAAGAGAGTTCCCAAGGAGAGCCTCAGATCCCCACTGGGATCTCTCAAGTGATGTCATTAGAGGACAAATACATAGGTCCCCTTTCATGGTATGGGTTATACCACTAATCACTATAGCAGAAAGCAAAAACTTATCATCAGTCTACTGAACTTTATATCCTTGGGATCTTTCTTCTTTGCAAATGTAAGCTAGAGGAGTCAAGTGATAATTAAGGTAGAAGAGAGACAAAAGTACCCAAACTAGAACTACGAGTGATCCCAGATAAGACAAAGGCATAATATGAACTTCTTAAATGGAAAAGAGTAGCTAAATGATGACTATTATTCTTTAGTGTATTAAAATCTCATGGAAACAAACAACAAAGTAAATACAAACTTGGTTAAACAGAATTTGAATCTGTTCACAGGCCTTGAAAAAAAAAAAAAAGTAAGAGACAAAATGACCTCCAAAACAAATAAAACAATCCAGGTAAGAAAGCCTTGTCTTTCTTAAAGGCCACATCTTATAAGATGTGAGGGAAACAAAAACCAAAACCAATCATTTAACAGAGAGTAAAGAGTTGTAAAAAAATAATCACACCATCACAGTTAAGCAGAGAAAACATAGGATGAGTGATTATTGCCAATTTATGAATATGTTCACAGGTCTCGGAAAAGTACCAGGTCTTGGGCTTTCAAATTTCTAATAGATTAAGAATAATTATTCTACATGCAGAGAAAATTTCAGTGAAAGGAGAAAAAATTTATATTCAAAAAGCTTCATATTAAGAATTATCATATTTTGTTTTTCTTTTAATAGTAGATGAACAAAACTACTCACTACTTCCAGAGTCTGAGCAATACCAGATAAGACCAGCTTCTTGGTAGAGGAGGGAAGACAGCCCCCCATCCCAGAAATAGAGTTTTTTTTTTTTTAAAGATTACGTTAAAAATTTTTAAAAAGCAGCAATTTTAATCACTATCTACCAAACTGACTTTACTATTTCCATATTCTAATGAAAAAATAACTTCTCAACTCAATGATTAAAAGAACAACAAAAACACAAGAGCCTTCTAATAGAACCAAACCTACTTGGTTCGGTTGCAAAGATTGTCCCAGGTGCCCTCCTACCCATTTGTGTTTGGTATTCTCTTCTCTCTCCAGAAATCTCCTTGCCCTCACCCACACTTTTGCCTCTAAGTATCACACCTGCATCCCATTTATACAGAATCTTCTAAGTTCATAAGGCTAGAAAACCCCTTAGTTGCTAACCTATGCTACCTTTCTCAGGAAATGCATAGGTTTCCATAATATACTTGTTAAAGATAAGTAAGTCTTTAAGACCCACACAACTCTTTAATTGTGGTTCTGAATCATGTAATAAGCATAAGGAAGATATTTTTGAATAAAGAGGGCTTTCCTTCTTTTCTCTAATTGCATCATTTAAGCAGCCACCTCCTCCACCTACTTGTAAGACCAACACTGCATCTGTATTTCCTTAAAAGGGAATATTTACCTATTAGACAAAGTGCTGCTTTCCACATGGTAAGGTTTTCTTTTTGCTGACCTTGAAGGGGAGCGATCCAAAAGTCTCTGGGTTTGAAATGTAGGGTGATTCAAACACTGTTCTGTCAAGTATCTGTCAGCTGGGTCCAACTTCAGTAAATTCTTAGGAAACAAAGTTAGGATTAGAAAGAATAATACAAAGTCAAATTTAAATTGTAATAAAAACCTTATTTCTTTTCCTTATAAAAGAAATGCATGGTCATTGCAGAATATCTAGCAGTTTAGTCCAAAAAAAATTTTTTAAAGAGGACTATCTAAATTACTACATTATCAGGGCACCTGTGTGGCTTAGTCAGTTAAGTGTCTAAATTCGGGGCAGGCCAGGTGGCTCAGCGGTGTGATCCTGGAGACCCAGGATCGAGTCCCATGTCGGGCTCCCTGCATGGAGCCTGCTTCTCCCTCTGCTGTGTCTCTGCCTCTCTCTATATATCTGTGTCTCTCATGAATATATGGGTAGAATCTTTAAAAAAAAAAAAAAAGTGTCTAAATTTGGCTCAGGTCATGATCTCTAGGTCCTAGGATCAAGCCCTGTGTTAGGTTCCGTGTTCAGCTCAGTCAGAGTCTGTTTCTCCTGCTCCCTCTGCCTCCTCCCCACTTGTGCTTTTTCTAAGTAGATAGATAAAATCTTCTACATTTTTTTTAAATAATAAAAAATAGGATCCCTGGGTGGCGCAGCGGTTTGGCGCCTGCCTTTGGCCCAGGGCGCGATCCTGGAGACCCGGGATCGAATCCCACGTCGGGCTCCCGGTGCATGGAGCCTGCTTCTCCCTCTGCCTGTGTCTCTGCCTCTCTCTCTCTCTCTCTGTGTAACTATCATAAATAAAAAAAATAAAAAATAAAAAAATTAAAAAAAACTTAAAAAAAAAACTTTAAAAAAAAATAAATAAATAATAAAAAATAAATCATCGCATTATCTTACTATTGTTGTCCTCTGGGAATAAGCCCTTCTAGTCCTTTTTTAAATACTGTATATACATATTTTCTTTTATAAAATTTGGCTCATATTATACATATAAGTTTTGGATCCTGAACTTTTCACTTACTAATCAGAAGTATTTTTTACAAAATAATTTAAACATTTGAAACATATTTTGGATGAAGTATATATTCACATGAAAGAATATACACTCATCTTTCTCTTGTCCCCTTCTTGGGAGGCAAGCCCATGTCAGTATTTTCTTGTGCATCCTTCATAGATACTCTGTACCTATCTCTGTCTGTTCCTTTTATTTTACCCAAATAGTAGCAGATACACAATGGTCTGCACTTAGCTTTCTTTCCAATGGACAGTAAATCTTAAGAGATCATTGCATATCGGTGAAGAGCTTTAACTCTATGGATATGCCTTAGATTGTTTTTAGCAATTCCCTAATGATAAACATTTTGGCTGTTCCTTTTATTATTATGAACAATGCTGTAACAAATAACTTTACAACATGTTTTTAAATGACTAAAGAAGTGTGTAGTATGGATATACCATAATTTATTCAACTGGTCTCCTACTGTTGCACATTTAAATGGCTGCTGCTTTGCACTATTATAATTAATGCTATGCTAAACACCTGAAATCCTTGAATACATCCATGATCTCTTTCTTGGATAAAAACTCCCAGAGATGGATTGTTAACTATGCAAACTTTCAAGGATTATTTTCTATGTGTTGAAAATCATCCCCTAGGAAGGTTGTCTAAAATGATACTCCTTTCTCAGCAACTGAGAATCTACCAACTTCCTGCACCTTCATCAACAACAAGCATTATCATTTTTTAAAAATACTATTTGTAAACTAGATATTTAATAAATGGTATCTCATAGCTGTTTTAATTCACATCTGTGATTATAATGAAGTTGAATATTTTTATGCTTACTGGTTACTTACATTCCTTTTTTTTTTAACTTACATTCCTTCTTTTCTATTTGTGCATCTATCTTTTTAAAGATTTATTTATTTTGGAGAGAGAAAATGAGAGGAAGGGCAGAAGGAGAGGCAGAGAGAGAATCTTTGGGGATCCCTGGGTGGCTCAGTGGTTTGGCACGTGCCTTTGGCCCAGGGCATGATCCTGGAGTCCCAGGATCAAGTCCCACATCAGGCTCCCTACATGGAGCCTGTTTATCCCTCTGCCTGTGTCTCTGTCTCTGTCCCTCTCTCTCATGTGAATAAGTAAAATATTTAAAAGAGAGAGAGAGAGAGAGAGAGAGAGAGAGAGAGAGAGAGAGAGAAAATCTTCAAGCAGACTCCCTGTTGAGTGCAGAGCCAGACACGCAGCTGGATCCCAGGACACTGAGATCATGCCCTGAGCCAAAATCAAGAGTTGGACGCCCAACCGACTGGGCCACCCAGGTACCTGTCCTAATTTATTTTTAAGTGTTCTTTATATATCACAATAACTAACCCTTCTATGTTGCAAATAGTAGATGTTTTAACAACTAAAATGTTTTCTTCTGGGCAGCCTGGGTGGCTCAGGGGTTTAGCGCCTGCCTTGGGCCCAGGGCCTGATCCTGGAGACCCGGGATCGAGTCCCATGTCGGGCTCCCTGCATGGAGCCTGCTTCTCCCTCTGCCTGTGTCTCTGTCTCTCTCTCTCTCTCTCTCTCTGTGTGTATTCTCATGAATAAATAAAATCTTTAAAAAAATAAAAATTAAAAAATAAAATGTTTTCTTCTAATATTATTTTAGTAGTTGGACAAGATTTTAAAAGGTGAATCATTATTAAAACTAATTGATTTTTATTGACAAATTAAGCAAATACATAAAACATGAACCTACATATCCTAACACAACTCAATAAAATACACTGAATTTGCTGTGACGATATTTGCACAGCAAAATTCAGTGAAGGCATTTTCTATCAGAGAAAGGAAGAATGTTGAAATTCCAGCATTTCCAAATCCATCTCTAGGTCACTTTCATTGGTTTTGCTCACAGTTAACCTCTTTGTGATCTACCTGAACAGTGAGAACAAACCTAGATTTGCTCCCAGTGAGCCAGGATTCAATTTTAGATAACCACCTTTAACCTAGCACCACAGAAAATGTGAAGTCTGATCCTACCATACACTGAAATATTCACTTTGGGTCAAATGATTCTGGTAACCCAAACCACTCCTTACATGGAAGTGGATTTACATTCATGTTGATTCAGACACAATTCTAAAATTATCTGAATTCTTTCCTCCTCTTTAGAAAATAAAGAAAACTATGGAGGTATATAAAAATGATTTTGGTCTCACTGGCAATTAAAACAGTTAACATCAAAATGGTTTCAAATGTATGATACTGGTTAAAAACAGAAAAGTTGGCTCCTGAGTAGTATTTTAAATTAGAAGTACATATGACTTTCCACAAGCCACATATCTACTAGCATCAAAGTGCTATTTTAAGATTATCAACTATAGAAATTACTGCATATACACAAAGAATTATTTTTATATTCATAAATATAGCTGTTAATTTTCAAATCACTTAACAGGAGGAGGTCTTTATGAGGAAAGTATAAAACTTACTGAGTAAATAGCTTCAAAATTCAGTATTTAGGGGGAAAAACAACATTTTTTAAAAACTAAAATAGAGTCCATATAAATTACTGTAGATTGGGTTAATTCTGGTAACTTGTATCCCCCCCCCCCCAAATGGCTAATATCTATAAACAGATGCAGGATGAGATGGCCATTTTAGATATTTATATATGGACAAAATTAACAAATCTGTTTTAGAGAATGGCACAGATATATATTTCTTCATGAAAGGATAAATGAGGTTATTTACTTTTCAAATTTACTTTAAAAATAGCTGAAAGACAAAGGAATCATTCTATTTATACTACATTCAATAACAAGTCAATATTAATCTTTGGTGAGAGAACTCAGAATTGTGATTTCCAGGAGTGGGGAGGCACATGGGTATACAGCCAGGGAGGGGGTCATAAAGAGGCTTCTAGGGTGTTAATAATTTTCTCGATTTCAGTCTTGATGTGGTTAAATGAATATGTTTACATTCTAAAAACTAACTGAAATGTATATATAATTTGCATACCTTATAAATATACATTTCAATTGAAATGTTTACTTAATGTTAAAAAATTTGAGGCTAAATATGTTAAATTGGAATTAGATTGTATAATTTCCAAATTGGTAACAATACAGAAAGATTCCAGTTATCTTTGTACTTTTATCTGTGCTAGATTTTACCAATGACACTTGGTAATTAGGTTTGGTAATGATTTAACCAAAAAAAGTTTAGTTATCTTTTAAAAAAAAAAAACAAAAGGCAGAAAACATGAAATTGTATTTAATTCAGTTGTCTTTACCCTATTTACATTTTTTAAGTTACTGAATCATTAAGCCCTGATAAATATTGATTGTGTGAAAGAACATATTGACGAAATCCAACTGATTTAAGAGATAATTTATGCCTAATTAACACGAAAGACCCTTGAGGGCTATCTTTTTAACAGTACCTCTCAATCTGTGTTCAGAATACTAGTACTGTAGAGTTATTTTTTAAAAAGTATTTAGTATTTATTTAATTAAACTTGGGAACTGTTGAGCGAGACATAAATGCTTCTTTACTATGGGATTTCTGAAAGCCTTTATAAATTAATGAATGTTGTGAATCTCTACAAAAGGTTATGTGGTATGTATTCTTTCTAAAAAGCCATGTCCCCTCCCCTACTATTACCCCCACACCAATTTGCACACAGGAACATAGTTTAAAGCACAGCAACGTTCTGAGAGTGCTGCTCAGCAATTCCCAACTGTGCTAAGTATACCTTTAAAGACTCTGTGCATAATGTAACCTCCTCTCATTTTGAACAATAAGCTACATGGGCATAAAATAAAATTGATCCATTAACAACTATTTTTTGAAGGTCTACTATCAAACAACCAGCACCAGCTTATGTACTGGCTGGCTATGAGGAAAGCTGGGGAAACAGGAAAAACTGGTTCTCACTTAAGAGGTTGTCTGCCTAATGAGGATGAAAAGCTTAAATAAAAAACTGTGAGAATGTTTTAAGCAGTGCAGAGCAGGAAAACCATCTGGATGAGGGCAGGAGCATGAGGAGGCATGCTCAGGTGTGGTAGTAGCAGTGATCCTGCTGTGGCCAAAAAAAAAAAAAAAAAAAAAAGAGCCAGAAAGAACCAAATCATCAGGGAGAGAAGAAGCCAAGTTAGAAAAAGAGAAGAACTAGGTTCACTTACAAAATAATCCTACGAGAGGCCTCTGATATCAAGTTTATTTTTTTTAATTTTTTTTTAATTTTTATTTATTTATGAGAGAGAGAGAGAGAGAGAGAGAGAGAGAGAGAGAGAGAGAGAGGCAGAGACATAGGCAGAGGGAGAAGCAGGCTCCATGCACCGGGAGCCTGATGTGGGATTCGATTCCGGGTCTCCAGGATCGCGCCCTGGGCCAAAGGCAGGCGCTAAACCGCTGCGCCACCCAGGGATCCCTGATATCAAGTTTAAAAAAAAAAATTAGAATCTCTATTCTTTCAACTTTCGTTTTAAGATTTGTTTTGAAACGTTATTACTATGCAGCTCTTCAATGCTTAATAAATTTTTAAATTATTTATTATTTATATTTAAATCGTTATTATTCTACCCATTTTAGGAATGTAATTGAGGTATCTTATGGCCCTATCTACATGGAATGTTATAAAACTAGGTACTGCTGCTATTTTAAATAAATTGCATGCTTTTAACATAACATAGTCCCCCATTACTACTATACATCTATTAACAAAATACATGTATTTTACAAAAGCAGGCTCTGATCACATGAAAACACAAAAAAAACCCATAAACCAAAAGACATTTTATACAGACAATATCAACTTGTCCCACCTTCATTAAGTCAAGTAAGACGCTATTTAGAATTCCAAGGTATCTTCTCTCCAATGTCTGAGGATGGTTAACAGCTGGAAACTGTAAGAACAACAGGAGAGGAGTGTCAGCACATGGGGAGTGGGATGCATGTGCATGTACTGTGAGTGCTGGAAAAGGTAGCAAAAAAACAGACATTATTGCTCTAGTGCCAAAGTCAAATTTATTTCCTATGCCTATTACTTTTGTGTCTAGGTATTTGAGGTAAGGATTAAAAGGATTGGGTGTTAAGTAACAGGAAAATGTGCAGGTGAAAGAGAATATTAAATCTAGTCAGACAATGAAGCATGTAAAACAAACCTAACTATAAAAATTTGAGACTGTATTTATACAGTTTACACAGTACTGTATGTTTATATAGACAATTCAGTTATAATATACTTTATACAGAATTTGTCTGCTTACACAGACAATTCGTAAGCCTTTGTTACAACATCATTTACTCCTGAAAATTAGAGAAGTAAAATAAAAAGAGAGAGAAGGCAGAAGCCAGTACTTACAAGGCCACAGAAATGGAAACAGTGAATTCAGACACATGTTCTAGCATTGCTTTTATTTTTAAGATTTTATTTATTTATTCATGAGAGACACAGAGAGAGGCAGAGACACAGGCAGAGGGAGAAGCAGGCTCTCTGTGGGGAGCCCGATGCGGAACTCGATCCCAGGACCCCTGGATCATGCCCCAGGCTGAAGGCAGACACTCAACCACTGAGCCACCCAGATGCCCCTATCATTGCTTTTAAAATACTCTTTTAATGACCTACTTTCAATTCCTTGCTTTATATAAGTTGGAACAGAAGACAAACAGTCTCCTAAATTAATAAATGCCTTTTTAAATAAAATGAGGGGAGGAGATCAAATTTATTTAGGTGCTCTGTCCTTTCTACCACCTCACATTTTGCAACATCTAAGTAGATGAATAAGTATTAGAGCCCGATGCCATGTACTCCCTCGCAATAGGAAGGCTCTTTTGCTTTTAATACGTTATTTTCTTTATACCAACATAAGAGTATTTCAAAGTACTAGAATCCTTAAACGTGTTAAATACGTGGATGGGAGGACTAGTTATGGAGGAAAATTTTCAAACAAGGCCCTTAAGTCATGATTATGACATTATCTGCACACTGTGCTAGGGATGGCCAGAGATACAGCATATGGGTCAGAACTAAACCTTGCACTGAAGATGCAACTTGCCACAGTTGGCTAGGACAGCAATCAGCACTGAAGTGTACAGTCAAAAATTCTACTTGAAGGTTGGAGAAGGGAGAGACCAAGGCAGTTTGCAGCTGGAGAAAAAAAGAATCCACAGATAATATTTGAACTAGGTTTTAAAAGATAAGTAAAATGTGGTGACAGAGAAAAGTAGGACAGCACCCCAGACAGAGGAAGTAGAAGGAATACATGAACTTAACACAGACACACAGGCAAACCTATAACTAATTACAGAGCGATGCTATACAAGGCATGGTAGCAATTCTTCTTATTATTTTAGAGATGAAGAAGGTGACAATCAAAAAGTTCAAGTAACTGATTCAAGGCAGGTTATGTAATTAAAAAGCAGAACTAATATTTGCACCCAGGTCTATAATTCAAACCCACACTCTTTCTGAACCTAGGCACCTCTCTCAAGGGAGGTTTTTTTGGATGTTGTTGGAGTATTAAATATCAGCCCAAAGAGAGACACCTGTCATTCTGTGATAAACAACTCTGTACTGCTACGTTGTAGTTAATATTTTGCTTATGAGGTCTATCTTATGCTACCAGATGTTCCTTTCTTTCTTCAGAAGTAACATTTCATTGATAAGAAAATTAATGAAGAGAGTGAAAAGGTATTAAAAATATTATGATAAAAAATGACCAAGCTAACTTTAAAAAATTAATTTATATGCTTTTGAATGAAATCTACCATTCTCATGTGATAATTCAACAAATAACCAAAACTCAAGCATGGAAGTTTAAATTATATCCCAACGAGTAGCTTCTCTTTCTTTCTTAATTATTTGAACAATACAACACAACAAGAGCACATCTTTAGTGAGCACTTACTATGTGTCAGGCAGTGGTCTGGGCATGTTACAGATAATACTTAACCTTCACAACAACCCCATCAGGTAGTACTTCTGTTATCAGCATTTTCTACATAAAGAAATAGAGGCACAAGAAGCTTGCCAAAGTCATTCATGTAGGAAATACGGATCCAGGCTTTGCACCCCAGCAGTCTGACTCCAGAATCTATGTCCTAGACTATGGGACATCAATCGCTACTTTTTCTAAATAAAGCATACCAATAGAGCAACATCTTGTTGACTTTCCAATCCCTACACAACTGAATCGAAATGCCAATAACAACATTAGACCGGTCACCAGTGAGTCTGTGTCTCATGGAAGTTCCAGTTCACACGTCCTACATGCTTGGTCATCTGTCGCAGATATTCTCCAACAGAATGATAAAGGAAGACATTTCCCTCAAATGACGTTGCTAAGCCTCCAAAAAGATTAACCTAATTTAGTTAAAATACCACAAACACTTTCAGACCAAATTGTAAAAATATTAACGTTTATAAAAATCAAAGTGTCATGGAAGCAGCAATTTCTCTGAAGGTTATATAAGTAGTGTTGTCATGTGGTATCCAGCATCTTATAGATAATACTATTCAGTGAGGAGGTCTGTGAACAAAACAGACCACACACAAATGAGGGAATGAGATCCTTCGTTTGGCCTAACACAAATGCTACTCATTCTTCATATACATTATAAACTTCCAATCTTCTATAAATCTTTCTCCAGTGAATCCAGCCAATTATGACTTCTAATTTTCCAGAATGTTCAACCCTCTTGTGGTCTCAGCCATATTGAGAGATGTTTTAGAAAACAGTGTAATGCACTAAAGAATGAAGTTTTTTATTATATACCATGCTTTATGATGTTATATTGCTTTCCAATTATTTCATGTGCAAACGTCTTAATTCTCTGGTTCATTAACAAGTTATTAAGGCTAGGTACCATTACACATCTGTTTACACTCTCTTCAGGCAATCAGCATGGAGTCTCTTTAACCAGGCATAGAACAGGAAGCCAACAGGGCCAGCTTGATGTTCCAGAAGTTACAGTTAAAATCCTGAGGTCAGATATTCAATCACTGAATACTATTCAACCTTGTAGGCACTACTCTAGATGTGCTATGAATATAATGGCAGACATGATAGTTCATTTCCTCAAGGAATTCATCAGTTCAGCGAGGATACATATATAATTTTTGAAAACAGCTATTTAAAAAAGATGGCAATGAATGCTACCAGAGCACAGAAAGGGGAGTCACCCACTCCTTGGAAGAGTCTGGAAGGACTTCCAGGAGTGAGAATACTTAACCTCAGTCTGGGGAAAGGAGGAGGAAGAGCTTTCCAGGAAGTAGAGCGAGTACTAGAAGCATCACAGAAATGAAAATACAGAACTGTAGAAGCAACATGTCAAGGAAATGGTGAGAAGTTCAATATGTTAAGTAGGGGGCAATGGTGGGAACGAGTAGCAGACAAGGCTGGAGGGCTAAGAGCAAGGGGTTCTTAATGCTACCTCCTAAAGTAAGCAATCCCGTTGAGGCTTTCAAACCCAAAGGAGACAGAACTGAATGTGCAATTTGAGGGAAGATTATTCCAAATGCAATGTGAAAAGAATGAAGACAGAAAGTTGGAGAGAGGAGTTTAGGAGTAGTCAATAAGTTCAGGTAAAAGCTGCTAAGGGTGAAAGAAGCATTAGAGATAGAGAGAAGGGAGGCTCAGTTGAGATTGAGTGCTGACGACACAAACTGGCTCAATGTATCATTCAAGTATTCACTGAGTCCCTAACTAGATGTGCTGGATTCTACTACAGATGCTGGAAATACAGTGAAAAAACAGACGATTTCTGCCATTGGGGAGCTTATACTCTAGTAGTTGAGAATTTGACAGTTGATAATTAACAAGTAAACAAATAAACAACACATCTACATACTAGGGTAAGTGCTAGGATAGAAAAAAAGAAGGGTGGTGCTAAGTAAGGGAGACACTAGGAAGATGATGGGGGCAGTATGCTGGTGGCATCAAAGAGGGGGACATTCTTGGAGGGGAGACTTAAAAAGCAAGAAGGGATTGTGCAACAGAAGCACTTTCCCAGGAGAAAGAGCAACAAATCCCAAATCCATGAAGATGGAAAAATCTTAAAATGCTTATAGTAGTCAAAAAAAAAAAAAAAAAAAAGACAAGTTGTGGTGAGAGCTTGGAGAGAGAGAGAGAAGCAGCCACTATGTTGTGTGCTCATGTGTGAGGAGGGGTTGTTCTTCAAAGTGAAATGAACTGAGGTCCAGAAAGTCAAAAGAAAAATGAAGTGTTCTGCAAATGTCAAGAAAACATGGTTTGGGAACCATGTGTTTAAAAGAAAGGAAGTGGCGGTTTTATAGTTCTCACAATGGTCACCAATCAGCATGTTAGCCCAGAGTAGTTGCAAACAAAAAAGTAGATTTTGGGGTAGATGGCAAAAGTAGCTCTTGGGGTAGATAGGCAAAAGTAGTTTTTGCCTATAGGTAGGCAGCCTATATCTGGATACTCTAATAAGGTGCCTCTGCAAGTTGCTTGTCTCTCATTTGGGGAAAGTTTATATCTTAAGGCCCTTTTCAGTATATTCCCTGAAAACAAGTTTTATACAAAGTTGGCAAGTCCAGAAAAGGCTGCCCAAGACAATATACTAGTTTGAAGTGCTTCACTGATGCTTCACTGTCAACAGACAAGAAACAGATGCTAGAACACAACCTTTAAATCTATAGAATGCAAGTATTCATAGTCTCCCTCAAATCATCGCAAATATGCTTGTTCAAATAAGCAACAGTCATTTATACATTTTTATATCTCCTGAGGATGCTTAATATTTTACAGAAAGCAACATTCTGAGATAACCAAAGTGTAGAATATGATAATGCATATGCTAGAAGAGGGTTTGAAAATTTGGAACTTATAAACTAGGAAAAAAATTAGCAGTTCCCACTTTCAAATTCAGACTACTTCTTAAAATTCACAAATACTATATAAGATTCAAAAACAAAATATTATAATGGGGATTATAAACATTGTATTGGGAAAGGGAATAGTATTCAATGGATAGCTTAGCATTCCATTGTGCAATGAACAATGATTTAAATACTGCTGTATTGATTCCATTTGGACTTTTAGTAAAGCCTCTTACCCGGAGCCCATGGAATCGAGGATTACTGTAGAAGAGCTTCATCTGTTCAGATGGAAGTGGTCCTAGCACCTTCTGAATAGTAAAAAGTTGGTCGATTTCGCTCTCTCCAGGAAATAAAGGCTGTCCATCGCTAAGCTCCCCAAGAATACAGCCCACTGACCACATATCTACAGACTTTCCATAAGGAGCTCTGAAAAGCAAAGGGAGAGATTATCTTGGCAAATGAAGAAGAAATACATTTTAATAACTTCCAAATTATTTTGAACAGATTCAAAATTTAAAGCAATTTGTGTATTTAAGGAATTAAAAATGAGGCTGAAGAAAAGGAATTATGGATATCCAAGTAAAATTCAGAGCACAAGTAAATAAATCTATGCTAATAAAACCATCAGTTTAATAACAATTTAGTTAGTATACACTAAGTTGAAGTCTATTCACCTCTGGGCATATTTTGAACATGAATGGCTTAATAAACCCTAATACAGTGCACATGTCTGATGAGTTAACATTTCACTTGGAAAATACTCCCAGGAAATGCATTTTCTAGGTAATTATCCTTTAGCTCTTGAAATGTCAAAAAGTTATACCTCATCCATTTTTTGAGTTCAGACTATTAAAATGTAACTACTGGCTCACGTGTCTTCTTAAACAATAAACATTGAATACTATTTAACTTTTGATTGTATAGAATCACCATTTCTAATACATAAGGTGGTCTAAGCTTTATTGTATTATTTACCTGAAACTATTTGTACCCTGTGTAGATGGTGCTTTATGATAATTATTTGCCTCAAAGCATTTTTTTCCATTTCCTTAGGGGTTTACAGCTCTCCACTCGGATCTGAGTTTACGAGAAGGCTTTAGGAGTGTTACTATTATTAATAAGTGGAGACTATATGTGAAAACCTAAGTACTCCAAAAAAGCTTTATATGTATGCCCCAGTATCTATAGCCTTAGGTTAAATTATATGTGGCAGATTAAGAAACCATATTTTCTTTAGTTTCAAATACAAATAATCCAAGTTTTAAGAATGGAAAGCCAAGGGATGCCTGGGTGGCTCAGTGGTTAAGCATCTGCCTTTCAGCTCAAGGCATGATCCTGGAGTCCTGGGATCGAGTCCCATTATTAGGCTCCCTGCATGGAGCCTGCTTCTCCCTCTGCCTATGTCTGTCTGTCTGTCTGTCTGTCTCTCTCCGTCTCTCGTGAATAAATAAATAAAATCTTAAAAAAAAAAAAAAAGAAAGAATAGAAAGCCAAGGGTGCCTGGGTGACTCAGTTGGCTAGGTGTCTAACCCTTTTCTTCAGCTCAGGTCATGCATGATCTCAGGGTTGTGGGATTAAGCCCCATGTCAGGCTCCATGCTGAGCATGGAGGCTGCTTAAGATTCTTTCTCTCCGGGATCCCTGGGTGGCGCAGCGGTTTGGCGCCTGCCTTTGGCCCAGGGCGCGATCTGGAGACTCCGGATCGAATCCCACATCAGGCTCCCGGTGCATGGAGCCTGCTTCTCCCTCTGCCTGTGTCTCTGCCTCTCTCTCTCTCTCTCTCTGTGTGTGACTATCATAAAATAAATAAAAATTAAAAAAAAAAAAAGATTCTTTCTCTCCTTCTGCCCCTCCCCTCCTCATGTTCATGTTTCTCTAAAGAAATTAAAAAGGTAAGAGAAAATAAAGTATCTGAAAAAAAATATGGGATGAAATTCTAGAATGCTATAATGACACAGCAGTAATACAAAACTTTTAATACTCTAAATTAAAGCACTGTTAACACTATACAGAATATGTTTCTAGGACAATAAATCACTACAACTCTAAGTCAGTATTTTATTTATCTCATTTCCTTCCCATAAAAACCTAAGGACCATATTAGGAAACTTCATGTAGACTTTTTTGGTAGCTTGTTGAGGAGGAAAGGATACTGATATTTCTTTAATATCTGTACAAAAAAAAAACCTTGTGCTAGATGTAGAAACTTGGTTCTACATAACCAAATCGCACTATTTTTCTTCTGTCAATGGATGTGAATAATTTATGCAGCTGGAACTATTTTGAATGTCAAGGACAAAGTCTTGAGAATGTACAAAAATGTACATTTTTAATGTTAACCAAATATCAACAGATTTCAACAGGATTTTTACACAAATAATATGGTTCTTCAACTAGTACTTGACAATCATTTAATTAGTAATATATAATTTGGCTCAAATTAATTGAAGTTGCAATTTACTTTTGGTAGCTCCCACACATTTCTAAACATAACTGCTGTTTTCTGACAGGTATTATTAGGCAGCAAATACTCTCTGTAGGTCTGCAATAAGGCTGTCCTCAGAATGAACTCCTTGGGGCCATTGTATAGACAAAACTATATTATAAAAAGTCCTCTACCATAATTGAATCTTCAGATGGTGTTCTAAGAATGATCTACTTCATACTCATTTCTTCTTTGGCAAATCTGCCCAGTAAAATCAAACTCCAATTCCTCCCAAAAGAAAAGGGACTATGCATCCAAGTAAGTCCAGACAGAAGTACACAGAAAAAGAAACAAAGACAATCACAAAAGAAAATCAACCCTAAAACCAAGTTTAAAAATTAGCACAGAAATTCCAAAATCTATCCACACAAAGAGAGATACTAAAGTGACTAACCACCTTTGTTTCCCAAGATAAAGCAAGCTATTGATTTTTTTTAAAGTCAAGCTTTCAATAACTGATATCAACAATTCGTATAGGCTCTATGTCAGCAATGAATCAAGAATTACAACCAGATGGTTAATAGACACTGGGAAGGGCACCTGGGTGGCTCAGTAGTTGACGTCTGCCTTTGGCTCAGGTTGTGATCCTGGAGTCCCGGGACTGAGTCCTGCATCAGTCTCCCCGAAAGGAGTCTACTTCTCTCTCTGCCTATGTCTCTGCCTCTCTCTCTGTGTGTCTTTCATGAATAAATAAATAAAATACTAATATATATATATATATATATATATATATATATATATATATATATATATACATACACACTGGGAAATTGTGAACATCAAAATAAACCTTCAGTGAGTAACTTAATCATCATGATCTTCAACAAAAGGAAATTTATATTCCTACTATATAAAAAAGTATCTTTTAAAAAAAGATTTTATTTATTTATTTGACAGAGAGAGAGAGAGAGAGAGAGAACATGAGTAGGGGAGCAGTAGAGGGAAAGGGAGAAGCAGGGTCCCTGCTGAGCAGGGAGCTCGATGCAGGGTTCGATCCCAGGACCCTGGGATCATGACCTGAGCCAAAGGCAGACATTTAACTGACTGAGCCACCCAGGCACCCCAAAAAGTATCTTTTAAAAATTAAATTTCTTGGGGCACCTGGGTGGCTCAGTTGGTTGAGTGTCTGACTCTTGATTTCTTTTTTTTAAAATAAATTTATTTTTTATTGGTGTTCAATTTGACAACATACAGAATAACACCCAGTGCTCATCCTGTCAAGTGCCCTCCTCAGTGCTTGCCACCCAGTCACCCCCACCCCCCTGACTCTTGATTTCTGTTCAGGTCATGAGATCAAGCCCTGAGTCAGGCTCCAAAACCAGCACAGAGTCTGCTTGAGATTCTCTCTTCCTATCCCTCTACTCCGCTCCCTACTCAAGCTCTCTCTTTAAACAAACACATAAATAAAATCTTTAAAAATTACATTTCTCATATCCCCCAGATACACATTTGGTGCACTAAAGAGATGAAACCTACAATTAGAGCACTGGTCATCATTACCACCATATCTCATTTTAATTGTAGAATGTGCATTCTTTTTCCATTCTTGGATGGTCCCAAAGAAGTAAATACAGTATAGGGAAAATAAGAAAATATTACAAATAAGGTGAGTAGAGGATTATTCATATAACTGTGATTGAGTTCAGGAGGATAGGCTCCTTCTTAGGCTCTCAAGTTAAAACATACTAAAAAGAAAAAAAGAATCTTATCAGAAAATCCTTTTCTGGGGTTAACAGATGAAAGAGCATTTAAAGTGGAAGGAAGGGGCAGCCCAGGTGGCTCAGCGGTTTAGCACCACCTTCAGCCCAGGGCATGATCCTGGAGACCTGGGATGGAGTCCCACGTTGGGCTCCCTGCATGGAGCCTGCTTCTCCCTCTGCCTGTGTCTCTGCCTCTCTGTGTGTGTGTCTCTCATGAATAAATAAATAAATAAAATCTTAAAAAAAAAATAAAGTAGAAGGAAGGGTGGGCACAAAGTGGATGGATGTGATGTTGCTGAGAAAATCATCAAAGCAGTGTGTTTGAATAGTCATTTGCCATCAAACAGGATTTCTCTATTCAGAAGAAAATTGGCAATTGGTTCAGTATTTACATCATGTTTCTAGCAACGTGGTTGGATATAAAAGACACTTGATAAGTATTTGCTGAATTAATTAATTAATGAACAAACCAACAGACAGGCCAGGCCTCCCAATAGGAGGTTGAGTTTATTTCTTCATCCCTTGAATCAGGGCCTGGTCATGTAACAAGCTTTGGCCAATGAGGCAAAAGCCATGCAAACAGAGGCTTGAAAACTACTTTTGCTTTTGGGGCTTGCCCTCTTGCTGCAAGAAATTTTTCAGTTATCACATGAAGCAACTTGGATGAGTGTCTATGGAACGGAGATGGTCTGTTCCAGCTGAAGCCTCGTAAACCCACCAGCTAGACTCCAGATGATCTGCTGGCTGACTGTAGCTACCTGAGTGATTCCCATTGAGACCAATGGATTGAGGAACAATCCAGCTGAACTTCAATTACTGACTTCCCCAAAACACTGGTACCTAGAATTCTGAGCAAATAAAATGGTGTTTGTTTTACATCACTAAGTTTTTTGGGTGGATTGTTACACTGCAATTGGTAACTGGTATTTGATTGATTAAAGATCTTACCTTTCATACATGATCCCTAAGCTAATGATATACGATCAGAAAATATATAAATGTCATTTTATTTAGGGACGGTAACTCACCCAAGTAAGAGTTCTGGGGACCGATACCACCTGGTGGCCACATATTCTGTATAATTAGCATTATTGCCTTCTGATAGATTCCGAGCAAAACCTGAAAGACAGAAAAACCCAAAGGTATAGCTTTGAAAAATAAATAATAACTTCATGTTGGTAAAGTATTTCAGTGTTAGTAATATTTTAAAGGAACATCAAAAGAACATAATGACTGGTAATGAATGGGCTGTTTACTAATGGCACCTTCAATTATTTTACTAATTGACATTCATATGTCAATTAAAATAATTTAAGAATACAATAAATTAATATTAATATTTTCTTATTTAGAAAGAATATTTAGTGTATTCACTAAAAAAGCCAGTTGCCTCCTATACTAAAGAAATCCATATTTTTGAAGTCATCACATGCTTTTATAAGCATTCAGAGCATATTTTTAAGTCAGCTCTCTCAATAAATGCAAATTTTAGGAACAAAATGAAGTCCCCACAAGAGCTCAAGTCAAAGCTAAAATACCCTGTCATAGATGGCCATTATATTCCAATATGTGGGACTTAACACAGTATTTGTAGACCTATAATTGCTGATCAGTTCTAGCCATTGTATAAAGAACTAATGATTGACAAAGATGGAAACTAAGCAGGCCAAAATTATTTTCATCTCCTAATATAACTGAGAAGCATATTAAGGGTATCTTAATTACTTATAGACTCTAATCATTATTTTCCCTTTAAACCCTCACAAAAGGTTTTGGGGTCTAAAAATAAGCCAGTAGGTAAGCTAATTACCCATCTAGCTCGCCAAAAGCATACAGATAGTCACAGAGAACCAGAACATTAAAATCAGGGGTAAAAATTAAGGTGTTTGTCAGTTTTGAAAAGCAGAAAATAGTGTTTCTTAAAATGGAGGAATAAAAAATAAAAACAACCACAGCAAAAAACAAAGCCTGAACTTCATTGTAAGGCATATTTGGAAGAAATATTCCTATTTTCAAATGAGATTCTTCAAGCTAGACAAAGGAGCTCCATGCCCTGGGAGGGAAAGCAGTTCGGAAGTCCTCATTGAGTATGCTAGGGCACAGAGTACCACATGCAGTGCTGCCATGTGAAACTTCCTTATTACTTAAAATTGTCTTTCCTTTAAGAAATGATGTTGGGGGTGCCTGGGTGGTTCAGCTGGTTAAGCATCTGACTCTTGATTTCGGCTTAGGTCATGATATCGATATCCTGGGATCAAGCCCTAAGTCTGTTTCCGTACTCAGTGGAAAATCTGCTTGAGGATTTTCTTTCTCCTTTAACCACCCTCCCCCCGCCACATGCACACACACTCGCTCGCACTCTCTCTCCCCCCTAAAATAAATAAATAAATCTTTTTTAAGAAAGAAAGAAAGAAAGAAAGAAAGAAAGAAAGAAAGAAAGAAAGAAAGAAAGAAAGAAAGAAATGATGCCAGTCCAAGGATATCCTTTTCCTATTACCAACCATTCTATAGGTATCTTTTTTGTATTTATAACTTGCTTACAAATTTCAGTAATTTGTGGGTTTAAGCAGATCACCAATCCATAAAATCATGGAAGCACAGTAAAGGGCATATGAGGTGCACAAAATCTCAGTGTTTGGCGGTAACACAATTATTGATAGGAAGCCAGAAACAGAACCAGAAATACTTCTGAAAATCACAATGCTAAGAAAGTGCTAAAAATGTCAAGGTCAAAATCTTCTAAATAATTATATTTTGGTATTTTTTTTATTCTCCTAAGCACTTTATAAGATGTTTAAAATATAGCACATTAAAAAAAACATATAGCAGGATTCTTCTTTGCAACATTCTTTATAAAGTATGAAAAAATTTAAGTCCTTTAAAACATTTTTCCTCAGGCAAACAGGTTCATAACTCTCAAATTTCTTACAAATACTGAGTGAAAACAGTTATACATGCCTTTAATAGCTACACTAGACAAATCTGGTCATTCACACAGTGCATTCTCTAGCTTCCATTTCTCATTTGTTTGACCCATCTACAAGATACTAAACTAACATATTTAATGAAAGGCAATGCATTCTCTTTTATACATAGAGGTTTACATCATATTTATGATTATACTTAGATATATGAAAAATAACATTAAAAAAAAATCAAGGTTTCTTCAGCATATGGATTAGACAGAAGATTTTCTTAAAGTGATCCAGAACTTAAACACCCTAATTTATAGTTTTAAAACTTTTCTACATTATTTTAACTTAAATAGCACTTAATACAGTTTTATATACATGGAAAAGAATGCACAATTTTCTACTAGGATTGAGTACAACTCAAAAGCTTCCTAATATGCTCAACCAGGAGCTGAGATATTACACATCAATTACTAATCTTATTCATTAAACATCTGAGGGGAATAAATGGAATTGTTCTAAAAGTGTCTTTGACTCTTACAAGTATGTAATTATTGCATATACAGGATACATATGTATTTACCTTGGCATATTATTAGTGTTCATGATTATACCTAAAATAATTTCTATCAATGATTATTACAATATTTTAAAAATATTCTTTCATCCTACTCAAAACAGAAGTCATAGTGGTATTTCATAGAAAATTAGTTTTCTGGAGTCATTAAGAACTGAGCTTATGAATACATGCACGTGCATCTATTTGCTTTGCATTGTCATTAAACAAATACTGCGTTATGAATTTTTTTTAATGTAGACAACACTATGCAGAGTACAGTATTCTCCCAGCAATCGATTTTTCAACATATGATGTAATAGAATATTCCTCTGCTAGTTTAAGTCAAAACATTAAAAAATACTTTTAATAAGCCTTTAAAAGCTACTTGTTATATTAAATTAATTCTACTTACAGGGCTCAATTTCTTTTTAACTTACCAAAATCACACAGTTTCAAAACATCATTGTGGCTGATTAAGAGATTTTCTGGCTTTATATCTGAAATATAAAGATGAAGAAACAATTATTAAAAAATGTTCCATGGACTGCTGATTGATACTATTGGTCACTATAATGGCACCTAATTAGAAATATCCAGAGTAAGGTGAATAGAAACCTATAGCAATGAAAAGCAGGGTAACACATTTTATACTGGTACATTCAAGTTTCAACTAATTTCTTTTTGAGAAACATGAAAACCCACAATTTAAGAAATATTTTTCTCTTTAAATCTTAAAGGTATTAATGGGATTTCTGAAAGGAATTTAAGAATCACTGAATTTAGACCACCATGTTTCAAGGAACTATTCTACTTTATAAAATATTAGTAACATACATTTTTGGAGATAGGATATTAAAAAAAAAGGTTTACACCCACAAAATACCTTAAAAACATATTTAAGTAGCTAGAATTATATTTACTAGAAAAAAAAACTTCATAAAAAATAGAATTTCTGTTGTGATTTTCTACATAATGTCTATATTTACATATCTCTTTAGCTTTTCTGTGTGGTTCACAATTATAAATGTCTAATGCTGAAGTTATACTGCATGAGTCAAGAAAAGACTTCTCATTTTTTCCGTGGATCTTCAGAAGATGTGGTGGGAGCTGAGTAGAAATACACAGAAAATGCTATTTAATTCCTGCCTTGGGAGGCACCTCACAATACTATTTTTAGAGTAACCATCATCTCTATCAGATGGCAGAGGTGAAAATGGAAAAAGGGAAGAGATGGGAGTAAAATCTGCAGAGAATCATGGTTTCTACTGCTAATTCACAACCATTGATTTATTACTATATACTTAACCAAATCACAGGATCACTTTAGAAATGTAGCTAGCTCAGTTCCTTATTAATAGCTTCATGTTATAGTATAGATTGTTATTAGAATAGATATTAGATATGCAGTTGACTTGGAGATCTATCTATACCACCAACAACCTTGATAAGGTAACTGGTATGAAAGTCAAACCCAAGAGAAATATAAACTATCTTTCTCTAGACATTTTCTAGACCTTTTCTAATAGGAGTTGGCATTCTTCACATGACCTTTAAGCTATTCTTAAAGTGAGACTATTTTTAAAGTGATATCCTTTTGTGCATGTATAGGTGAATTAAAATGTAGTATTCATTTATCTGATAATTCAGAGACAAGAAGTAGATACTGTAACATTTTCTGATAAACAGCTTCTGGCTTCATTATTTTATCAATATGTGTCCCATTATTGTAAAACTCTGCAATTTAAGATAGATTATCAGGAGAAGATAAACTGCATAAAGTCAAGGACTGTGCTGAGAAAGTAATTGCCCTTTTATTACTATAAACCACCCACCTCACAGCAATAAAGGACAAAACAGTTTACGGAAGCATACTCATGACCTTTATGCAAGGTTGATCATATCTACAACTTGCAATGGGCACTTTTCACTAATGGGTAGGGAAATTCAGGAAGTTAAAGTATATACTAGAGGTGGTTGGTCTAAGAGGGAATGAAAGGTGACTGTCAAGGGCAGGAAGTCAGTGACCACCTTTAAAGCCTTATTCTGGGTGGTTTCACATTACCTGCAGGACCAAAAGGCAACAGAGAACATCCCTTTGTTCTTTTAACTCCAAGGAAACTTCACAGTTCCTATTTGTTGAGTTCTTTATATCCCTAGGCATTTCTAAAGTTGAGAATAGATCTTGTTATACAAACAAAGATCTCACTATAATATCCAAATAAACTTGTCAGTCCATCCTTTTGGTGATACAGAAGGAGACTTGAAAGGTAAATGACATATCATATCCTGTACTTTCAAAATGTATTCAATTTAAATGGAACATCAATGCCCATGTAAATATTCTTAAGATAATAATGTATAAAATATTTCATTGTTAATTCTGATATTTTCTTAATATTTTCCATTTCAAAAATTCCATACTTACCTCTATGGACAATATCATTCTTATGGCACCAGTGAATAGCTTTGATTAGCTGATAGATATAACTTTTAACTTTTTCAGGTGGAACCCCATTTGGCATTTCTTCCAGCAATTCAAGCATATTCTAAAAATTAAATAGGGAGTCATTAATCTCCACAAATTACACAGGCCCATAAATCATGTATTAACAATTTAAAAAAGCATCTTGGATGATAATTCACCCAATGCACAGCATGCATTTTTAAGAACTGTTTTGTTTTCCATCTACTATCTTTTTCATGCAGAAGTAGGATACTGTATTAAATCAAAGTTCTCTTTTAAGAGAAATTCCATTCTACTCCCCAGTGCTGCCCCAAATAATAACCCTGGTACTTTCCACTCTCCCTAAAACCTTCCACACATCACTTTAGAATAGTTTCAAGTGGAAAGCAATACAAAGTAGAGATAAGATGTTGTACTGTATAAAGGAGGGGAGAAACAGTCATTTTAACACAGTGCACTATGCATGTTTAATAGAAACCTGCAGTAAAATCAAGCCTTGAAAATATTTCTGGAACACCTGGAAAATATTCTTAAAAGAAAATGATCCTTATGATTAGAAGTGATCCATGCAATCAGTACAAAAATTAAGACAGGCTGGAAAATGCTGTTGAAATAAACACAGATAGATCCCAAACAAATCAAGTTTCGAAACTTAGTCTAGAGTCAGAGACCACTCTAAAATTCATGTGAAATTTTTTATTAAATAGAAACTCCACTTAAGCTGTCTCCACTGAATTTCCAGATTAACCACACATTTTCCATTCCCTCTATAAAGTACACTGAAGTCCAAAGCATGATTAGTTTATTGTTTGTACACGACCATCTAGGAAAGCAGGTCTCAAAATGTGATCTGTGGATCTCTTGGGGGTGGTTATCAGGTCTTGCAGAAGGCCCATGAAGTCAAAACTATATTCATAGTAACACTCAGCTTGTTGGATCTTTCACTATGTTTATATTTATACTGATGACTCAAAGCAAGAATGGGTAAACTGATGGCACCTTAGCATAAATCAAGGCATTGGATTCTTCAATGCTACACTTTCGCAGTTAAAAAAAAAAGACAAAAAGCCAGTTTTAGTTAAGGATGTCTTTCTTTGATGAAGCAGTAAAAATTATAACTTGTATTAAATTTCAACTCTTGAGTATATGTCTTTTTAGGAATATATATGATAAAATGAAGAATATACATAAAGCATTTCTGTTGCATAACAAAGCAAGATGGTTGTCTTGAAGAAAATTACTTGGTGATCAAGTTGCAAGTTGAGATAGCGGCTGCTTCTTCATAGAACACCATTTTTTACTTAAAGAATGACCTACAACTGTATTTATGTTAATATGTAATGGGATTATTATTATTTTTAAATGAATATTTTATACTGCTCAGTTTTGACTCAAAATATGATAAATATTAATAGATAAAACCCACATAAATAATCTCTTAGGGTTTCCAAAATAATGTTGAGTGTAGGCGTCGCAAGACCAAAAAGTTAGAAAACCTGGTTTGCTTAATACAACCTCACAATTTTGTTCCCACCAGTCAAGCTGCATACATACAATCACCTGCTTGTTTATAACACTCTCGTACCTATTATAACAGATGCACTTGTTATTTTAATACCATTAAATATCATATAAACCAATGAAACAATGTTTTAAATAAAGAGAGTTGCTGTTTATAAGAAAAACAAAGTTTAATACTTCAGAAAGACTTAATAAAGGAAAGCCACTAAACATACTGCTGTCTAATCAAATGTGAGTGCAACAACTATAAAACGCTGGCAGGGGACAGGTGATGATGGTGATAAGAATTCTGCACTGAGATTGCTTTACAATGTTTTTAAGCTTTTGCCTCACTTTAAAGATGCTCTCGCAGGCTATGATAGTTGATGCATTATGGATATGATGTATTTAAGAAAGACTCGTCAGAACTCCAATCAGAAGACAGATACTCAAAAGGCCTTGACCCGACCTCTGAAGAGTAGTAAATGAATATATATTGATCTATTATAAGTTAAAATGCTTGAAGTATGTTTCATTTTTAAATGATTCTCCATTTAAATTGCCTTTTTCAATTAACAAATGCATAGGAGGTCCCAAATGCATGCATGGAATAGAAAGTAAGTTGTATGTCTCATTTCATATTACACTCTAAATTGATCAGTGGCAGAAAAGAATGTCCCTCAATATCCATTCTTCCCTTAGCCCATGGTAATACAATTTATAAGTAGATGCATAGGTGCTCAGAATGAAGAGTACATTTCCCCTCTGCCTTGCAGCTAGGGTGGCCATGAAACTAAGTCCTGGCCAATGGGAGGTGATAGCTGGAGCCTCCTTTTGACCTTGAGAACAAGAGTCACATCTCAGGGGTGGTAGAGTGGAAAGGCAGAAGGAAACTTCTATTTTGTTTAAGCCACTGTAATTGTATATCTCTGTAAAAACTCCTACCCTTTAAGAGCATCGTTTTCTTGCCCTCTTGAGACTGTCAATCATTAGGCACTGCCACTGATGGGAGGTCACCTTCCACTGAAAAACCACAGGGTCAAGGCAAGAACCACCGGACTGGGGGACACAAGACAGAAGCTCTGGTAGCAGCTCTGCCAATTATCTGCAGAGAGATCTCACATGGGACAAATTGGTACACAGAAGTGATTTCTCCATTTGTTCTTATTAAATTGTTATTAATCATGAACCATCACCCTGAGCAGAACAGAAATAAAAAAGACAAACTGAAATAGATCTGTCAGAATTTCATTACTTGGCAGTGAAAATCGTAAATTGCATGATTATTCTTGACAACAAAAAAAATAATATAGGGGATCCCTGGGCGGCTCAGCGGTTTAGCGCCTGCCTTTGGCCTAGGGCGCGATCCTGGAGTCCCAGGATCGAGTCCCACATCGGCTCCTGGCATGGAGCCTGCTTTTCTCTCCTCCTGTGTCTCTGCCTCTCTTTCTATGTCTATCATAAATAAACAAATAAATCTTTTAAGAAAATAAAAAATAACATAAAAGAGCTTCTGATTTTTACAGCAATCCTTTTTTATAAATATCAAATTTCAGTTTAATTTTGGTGGGGAAAGTCCCTTAGGAAAATACGTAAATTGACATAGAAATAGAAAACTTTAGGGGAACCTGGGTGGCTCAGTCGGTTAGGCATCCGACTATTGATTTTGTCTCAGGTCATGGTCTCAGGGTTGTGGGACCAAGCTCCGTGTTGGGGTCCACACTGGGTGTGGAGCCTGCTTGAGATTCTCTCTCTCTCCCTCTTCCCCTTCCCACCCTCAAAATAACAGTGTTTTAAAATGACAAAGAAACTTAAAATAATCTTCAAGTCTTGCTTGAAATGAAATTACTATGTACATTTATTTTCATTAGAAAACTAATTTGTAAAAGCTGAATTAATTCAAAAGCCACATTCCTGGTCCATCATCTTGGCAATGCTGCTTTTTATTTTGTAATAATGATAATGATGGTGATGACACTGTCATTTATGACATGGAAAACACCTGGCAAACATAATGCTCTCCAGTATTCATCTTCTTTAGAAAGCCTCATATTATCATGTAGAAATTCCTCGTTTTATCATGCAGATTCCCATAAAGACATGTATTCAAGAAGTGAAATCTAATAAAAGTAATAATTTTTATTGTTTAAATAGCAGGAAATTAGGAGCCACATACTCATTTATTAAGAAAACCTCTAAAAGGTCCATCTGAGTTCTGCCTCTCTATATATATCTCTCATGACTAAATAAATAAAAGCTTTTAAAAAATAAAAAAAATAGGGATGCCTAGGTGGCTCAGCAGTTGAGCCTCTGCCTTTGGCTCAGGGCATGATCCCACTGTCCCAGGATCGAGTCCCACATCGGGCATCCTGCATGGAGCCTGCTTCTCCCTCTGCCTATGTCTCTGCCTTTCTCTGTGTGTCTCTCATGAATAAATAAATAAATTTCTTAAAAAAATAAAAATAATGAATGAATGAACGAATGGTCCATCTGGCTCCAGTTTATTCTACTCTTGTCAAGGTAATTATTTCAATTTTGGACAATAACCAACCACTATAGGGCAGCTGCCCCCAAAGAAACTCAGACACATGTACTGATTACCGTAGTATACATTTGCCCCTAGGCCATACATCATTAAAATTGTCACTAATAGTTACCAATTAAAAAAAAAATACTAAAGCAAGTATGCAATTTGAACTGTGTGTACTTTTCCGATTTTCTCCTGAGCTTCCAATTCCTTATTTGTGGCCTCATCTACCTACTCAAGCCTCACCTTATGCCTCCTGGCACATCTTCTTCCCTCAAAACCAGAACACTGGCAATTCACTAAAGTGGGCTCCATGAGCCCAGTCATTTGCCACCCTAGGTCTGATTTAGGCAGCCATCCTATGCTTGCAGGCTGCCTTCCACACCTCTGTCATTCTATGTCATCACTGTCAATTTACTTATCTCTCCCTCAGAGGCCTTGCCTAGGTTTAATTTAAATAAACCAAGCCTAAAAATTACTTGTTGAACACAGATTCTAAAATATCAGAAGCCAAATTAATTCACTGTTGAAATTTAAGATGATCTCTGTACAGTTAAATTGCACAAAATAATTCAATATATTTCAGGGCTTCTAATGATTATGGATAATAATTCCATTTTTAAAATACTGAGATTATGAGTACATTGACAAATCACACCAGATAATAATGCTTCCTTGAATAGTGTCAGAAACAACCCTAAATAAATCAGGCTGGGGTGCCTGGCTGGCTTAGTCGGTAAGACATGTGACTCTTGATCTCAGGGTTGTGAGTTCAAGCCACATGCTAGGTGTAGAAATTACTTATAAAAATTTTTAAAGTAAGGGGATCCCTGGGTGGCGCAGCGGTTTGGCGCCTGCCTTTGGCCCAGGGCGCGATCCTGGAGACCCGGGATCGAATCCCATGTCGGGCTTCCGGTGCATGGAGCCTGCTTCTCCCTCTGCCTGTGTCTCTACCTCTCTCTCTCTCTGTATGACTATCGTAAATAAATAAAAAAAAAAATTTAAAAAAAAAAAAAAAATTTTAAAGTAAAACAAACAAACAAAAAGCAAATTTCCATACTATCAATTAGTGACTTACTTTTTCAACATACTCAAACACCAAGTACAATTTCCCCCTCCGACGAAAGGCTTCCTTCAGCTCCACGATGTTTTCTTGCTTGAGAGTACGAAGCATTTTAAGCTCTCGTAAAGTCGTTTCCTTGACTTCTTCATTTTCTAGAATGTAAACAATGGTGAATAGAGTAAAATTAAAGCTTTCAAGTCACTGTTCAAAAAATTCCAAGAACAGTAAAAACATACCAATTCCACTTTCCACTTTGAGTACTTCTGCATAAGAAGTTCAAGGATGTAAGATTAAATATCACATTTTCTTGTTGAAAGGATCAAGAATTAGCAACTTACAGAAGAAAAGGCTTACTTGACCAGCATGAACCTAATTTTCTGCTTGTGTTTTCTTATACTGCGTTTTGCAAAGTATATGTATAAACACAGACTTACAGATATGACTTATGAATTCACTGTCATTTTCATTCTAACACTACATACTAGGAAAGGTGGAGTTTAAAAGGGTAAAGAACAATCATCTGTATTAGTGTGCAGAGGAGCCTCTATGCAGCATCTGAAGCAGCTGATGTTTTTAACTTTGGCCTGAAGCTTTGGCTCAAAAGAGCATTTCATTCCTCAAGCTGCATGTGAGTCACCTCAGTGTGCAGAGGTCATGTACCAGGCACCCACAGTGCAGCCACAGTCAAGTTGCAGGGATTTCTAAGAGTGCCTGATCTCTCTGAACAGCAGCTGCTATAGGTTCCTGTTGTCTTTCTGTGGTATGTGCATCTGTCCAACCCAGATGGTGTAGCCGTACTGGGATAGAGAACTTATGCTGAACCAATATAGCCTTCCATATTGTCAATTTCACTCATGATAGTCCCAACAGGCAGGAGGAAGGACAGAAGTCCCATTAACTCTAATGGATGAATGGGGAGAGGAGTAAGGAAGGTAATACTTTATTTTAAATGAGTTTTTATGATACCTTTAGATTTAGCCTGGAAACTCTAACTACCATGTTTACATATGGAATACAGGTTCATAATCCTTTATCTGCAATTTCAAAACTCAGTCTAAAAACTGAACACTTTTTCCAAGTTTATGGCAAATCTCTTTAAAAGTAAAACCTGAACTGACATGAGACCACTTATATTGTGTATCCCACTTACTTATGAACATTAATATGTTTGCTTTAGAAATAGTACCTGGTTACAAGGTGCTAAAGTAGCATGCCATATTTCCATTCTAAAACCCAAAAGTTATAAATTCTAAAACACATTTGTCCCCAAGGTTTGGAGTCAAGAGTCAAAATCCTAGCTCAAGACTCTAAGTTTTTTCACTCCCAGATTCAGGCATATCTAACCTCCCTTAGGTTCAGGGAGGAAGAAAATGGAGTTTGGGGATGAAGGTGAGAAAGATGAAAATGCCTTCTAGGAAGAAATGCTTCCCAACCAAGATACACAAGAGAAAGGGGCTAAATGGGGCTAGAGGGAGAGCAAAGGTTCTAAATTAGGTGCCAGGAATACTTCTCAGATTATTTTCTATCCTAGTCCATCTTCCAGCCACTGTTCAAATTGAGTTAAAAGAATAAAGAGATAGTAATAAAAGCAGGGGCCTTGTAGCACCCGAATACCTATAATAAACAGGGAACATAAAATCAACACTCCTTTGTCAACTGGTTACACAAGTGAAATATTTTCCCTACTTCAGCAAAAACATAACAAAACAACAACTATTGAAGAACCCTAGAGCAGAGATTAGTAAAGGAGAGAGAAAGATACTGCCTACCAGAAAGCAAGAACTCATAATAAAGGCCAACAGTGGCATAAGCAGTGAGCTAGCTCAGCCCACACCAGGGGGTCAACTGGGAACTGGGGACTCACAGGCTCCCATCAGGGGAAAAGAACAGGACACTGTGGGGGCCACCTGGCAGTATAGGGAATGTATGAGATGTGATCAGGGGACTTCCCAAAGAGGCTTAAGAGTATCGTAGTGGGACAGAGGTCCAGATGTTTTACAAATTGGGGCTAAGGCAGAGAAGTGGTATTTTGTGGCTTTTAGAATTGCTAACACCTAGGGAAGACTAAAAAGCCTTTAATCTTGTGAGGAAGGCTAACCTATTTCTCTGCTATCCCATCTGAATTACTTTCAAGACTGGGGTAATCAAAGTAAATATATCTCTAACACACAGAATGTCACACAGGTCTCAATACAAAGCAAACAATCTTCTAACAAGGAAATAATTCAACACAAATATACTGATTACTCGTGGTCTGGTTCCGTTCTGCTTTTCCATCCCCATCTTATATCCTTCCTTCCTCTGCCTCATGTTAGTCCTTCAGTTCCCAAAATAGCCCCAACTCTATTTTTTCAAACTTACAGCCTTTGAACTTGTTCCTTCTGCCTAGAACTTGCATTCTAGAGCCCAGACTCCCTACAGGGCTGGCTCCTCTTCAGGTTTCAGTTTAAATGGTGCTCCTCACGAGCTTTGCCCAGAAAAATAAACTAAAGCAGGCCTCCATCCCTATTATTCCTTATCACACTACTCTGAACTTTTCTGTCAGAGACTTTCTCACCATTTTTATTTATAGATTCCTTTGCTCACAGATTTACTGTCTGTGTGGCTACCTCTGCTAAACCAAGAGCTCTCAGAGGACAGGCCTAAGTTCTGTTGTTCAGCAATACATACTCAGCCACCTAGGATTGTACCTGGCACGAAGGAGGGATCAATAAATATTTCTGACATGAATGCTTCCATTGGTGTCATAGAAAAACCTTCACTCACATGTAACTAGGTCTCATTCCTTTAAAACATGGGAAGCAGCAATATGATGGCAAACAAGGGGCACTTCACCCTTTTAGTTCTGAGTACGATGCTTTCAATCTTCTCTCTAGAATGTTGAGAGGGCAGCTTTTCAGGCAGTAAGACAAACTAAATTTATTTTCCTCTATTCATCTCCATTTCTGATTGTCTTGACAATATGTGATTATAAAAAATGGAGTCTCCAAAAAACAGAAAGCATGAAGGGTCAAGGACACATATATATTTAACCATTCATTAACAACATCCATAAGCTCTGCTGGAGCTGGGTACAAATGAATGTTGCAACTAAGTCAAAAGTAAATACAGCTGGTGTATCTTTTCTAGTCAAATGCTTGGTGAATTCTTGGCACCCGAAAAGCAACTGAAAAAAGGGAGCTTTGTATTATTAGCAACTTGTGGCAGTTTCACTTTGCTAACAGATAGAGCCACCTCAGAATGGCTAAAGTAGAATGGCTTTAGAAAAAGGAACATTGAAGCAGGGTTTGGAAGAGTTTGGATCCTGTTCACGAACCAACACTGCGACATATGATGTTGGGCAAGCCACTTAACTTTTCATTCATAAAGTAACTAAATAATGGGCACCCTTCCCACCCACATACAGATTTTAAAAATCCCATGGCTTTTTCCAAATCTAATAATGATTTCTTTCCATTAAAACCTCATTGAGGGGTGTCTGGGTGGCTCAGTCAGTGAAGAATCTGCCTTTGGCTCAGGTCATGATCCTGGTCCTGGGATCAAGCCTCAAGTCAGGCTCCCTGCTCAGCAAGGAGTCTGCTTCTCCCTCTGCCCTTCCCCCTGCTCATGATCTCTCTCTCTCTCTCTCTCTCTCTCTCACACACACACACACACACACACGCTCTCTTTTTCTCAAATAAATAAAATCTTTTTAAAAAATTTCATTGATTATGAATATAAACCTCCCTGAATTTTGCTACATTGTTATATGGACATCATTCAAATATATACCAACTCTACGTAAAAATGGCTAGAGAAGAAAGAGAAATGAATGAAAAAGCAGCTCACAAAATCACCTAGCATATGGGGCCCAAACCACCTTATGTGAGCTGCCTACCTATTTTAGGAAATGAAGGCTTCTCTACTGTACACCTGTCACAGATATTAAAAGTTGAGGTAACTAAGAATGTAATGAATGGGAACAAGGCAAGAAGTGGAGTTATTAATTCCTTAAGTGCAGGCAAAATGCAGTCTTCATTACTCGGTCTGTCCTGTAATTTTTGTTTCTCCAAGTACTTTGAAGGTTCCTGGCTTACCCTGTACTTTGACAAAACTGTGGCACTAAATGATGATATGACGGGGAAAAGCGATACACATTCCACCTATACGTGCTTCTCACCTCAGGTTCAGCAAGCAGCCAAGCTCTTAAATGATACAGTTTTTCAAAGGTGACATGAGCACAAAAATCCCTGCCTTCCATTTGAAATAATCCTGTGGATTCTTTATTTAGGCTAGGCTTCTCCAGTTTACAGATGAAGAAACCAAGTCTAGAAAAGAGTAACTTCCTCAGGGTGAGTGAAGGGAATGCCACACTGAGTAGAACACAGGGACATAGGCAACATGGTATAAGGTAGTGAGCAAGCTTTAGAGAAGTGAGTCAGAACACCCAGGTTCAGGTCTACACTCTGCTACCTCTTAGCTGAGTGGCAAAGCAACATGGTATGGGTGGAAGAAAAATTCAATAAAGATCTTGAAGTCTGCATCTTTCCCAGTTAGTCACATACTAGCTGTGCAGCTTTGTGTCTTGGGTTCCTTGGCTGTAAAATGGAGTTGGGCTTCTACCTGATGGTTCTGAAGGTCCTTCCAGCTCTAAGACCTGATGCTTCCATGCAAGTTCTACTTATGTGGATGCTGATGGATCTGGTCGCCAGTTACCACCGAGGGTGTTTAGCTTAGTACAGGCAGCAAGTCTGACAATGTTACATAAATTATTTTGAGTGACGATTAAATGGCAGGGTAAAAAAAGGATGTTAAGTAAGAAAAAAAAACAAAGAACTAACCTACTTTTAGCTTGCCAGTTAGGCAAGCTAACACACTAAAAATCAAGAAGGGAGATTCACTAAAGTAAAAGAAAACAATTTTTAAGGGGGAAAAATCATAGGAGCAAAAGAAATGCAAAGTAAGTAATAAAAAAAAATCTAAAGATGAGCAGAAACTCTATTGTAACTCTATTTTTAAAGAAATGTGGGCTTGGAAAAAAAATCCAGAAATAGCTGTAACCTACTTTATGAAATCACAAACTTGACATTCTTGTAAAGCCAAAGAGGCCCCCCCAAAATGGACCTTTCAATAGGTACAATGGAGGGAGAAAAAGCCAACCCATCCTTATACA